TTCCGATTCAAAACTTTCAAAACAAACAATTCACTTTTCACACCCTCTCTATCCTGTACACATCTTGCTTATTAAAAAACTACATATATTTTACTGCAGTAATCATCTTTTGTTAAATAATCTGGTTATAAAGGCTGGCTTGTTTGCACAGGTTTATTTTCAACCTTTTTTATACAGACGATTTACTGAACGATTTAAATGATATATTTTAGTGAAAACCTAAATATGAACTCAAATAAATCTTACAGACTTGAAATTAAATAATCATCATCATTGATCCTGCAACCCTAAAGCTCTCTTAACAAATTAAGTTTAAGAACTATTTTATTAAATAATTATAAAATGATTTTATGATTATAATATATATATATATATATATATATATATATATATATATATATATATATATATATATATATATATATATATATATATATATATATATATATATATATAGCAGTTTATACCTGGTCTTTCTGGGAAACATCTGCTTAAAGTGTAGCTCACTTATTTTACCTTTTGTTCAATGTTTTTGGATTAAAGTGCTTTTTTGAAAATGCTTTCATTATCCAAATTAATCTTATTTATTAAGACTTAATAAAAACACCTTGCATTGCGTTTTACATTGGAAAGTTTTTCTCTCATGCATTTGTTATATATTTTATTCATAATTCCCTCATTGTTTAAAAAGGAACTATAGTTTGTAGAGACTGTATTCTGTTTTATTTGTAAATGTTTTGTTGTTTTAAATAAAAATAACAAAAAAATGATGATGACGCCATGTGATTGGTCATCATGACTGCAGCAACTTTGAGCCCCGAAGTGTCCAGCTGTCCGGCTTGACGGCTCCGTTTTTAACTCCGCCCCCGCCTGCGCTCGGCTAATCTCGTTGATCACCGGCTGCAGCTGAGCTTTATGTCGAACGCACCTATTAGCTGCAACTTTTCAACTATGTTGAAAAATGTAGATGTTTACAAGTATGGTTCACTTGTTTTAACAAATTTTGAATATGTGGATAAGAAAAAAATACTTAAATAAAATAAAAAAAAAATAAAAAAAAGTAAAATTATCTCATTTTAATTTTATTTATGAGGCAAATAAAAAACATTTTGCACTGGGCCAAAAAAAAATCCTGCATAAATCTGAAATTTCATTTATAATGGTCTAAAAAAGGTCTTAAAATATCTTACATATGACTTGAAACCAGCAAGAACCCTGCATGAAGATAAATCAAGGATTTTTATTAAAAAACTTATTATTAAATTAAAATTATTAAAAAACTACCATAATAATGCTCCTGGTTGATTGGAAACACTGCGAGTGGACGATTTAAATGACTGTAATCATTCTACATTGCATTGTTTTCTGTTTTATACGTTTGGATCAGTGTAGTAGGTCATTCATTAATTCCGCTTTGGCTTAGTCTCTATTTCAGGGGTCACCACAGCGGAATGAACCGCCAATTATTCCAGCATATGTCTTCTGTAGTAGGTCCTTTATATTCAATGTGCTTTCAGAAATAATACGAGTATGGTAGTATACTATTCCGAACATATTGTATGTGCACTTTTTTTGTATCTGACCTTTACCCTGTGTAAAATTTAAAAAATGTGATGTTTAGTTCGATTCAGGATTTGTTTTTTATATTGGTCTTGTTTGCTGGCACGCTTATGTGACATGAAAAGAGAAATGCCAAAGTGTGGATATATCCTGAAATGAATCTATTATCAAGTAATTAGTTAACTTTGATGAAGACGCACTTCTCAGGATGCTTTCATGGTCGCACTGAGCTTTGGAAAAGAACAAAAGCACAAAGGGATGATCTTTAGGAAACCTGCTTTTATTTCGAGTCACGATCTTGAGCAATGAATTAATGAATTTTGCTAGAAATGTCTGGAGATGTTGCAGACTGAGTAGCAGCTACTGCACTTTACACATTTGCTTCACTGTTCAGTGTAGATCTTCAAACTCATGTTTGCCCTTTTTCTGAGTCGGCTCTGTTCAGTGTACAGTGTTAGTTATATTTTGTATTACGAATGATTTTTCTGAATTTACAAAAGCTGAAATTGTGAATAATGTCCTGCCCTGCAATAATAAAATTGCTTGTCCCGTTATGAGTGTGAATGCTTGTCTCTAGAAGTCCTGCAATGGAAGAGTATTCATTCATTTTCATTTTCGGCTTAGTCACTTTATTAATCAGGGGTCGCCACAGTGGAATGAACCGCCAACTTATCCAGCATAGGTTTTCCGCAGCTTTCAGCTGCAACCCATCACTGGGAAAATGTAAGATTAAATTGGATTGTCATTTCACTACCTGACAAAAGTCTTGTCGCCTGTCCTAGTTTTAGGAACCGCAAATAATAAGTTGACTTCTAGTTGATTATTTGGTATCAGAAGTGGCTCATATGAAAGGCAAAGGCCTCTAGATGATGCCTATATGACCACAATAAAATATAATCATGCCTTGATTATTAATGATTTGATTAGGACAGTGCGGTCTGACTCTGCTTAGACTAAAGTCTCATCACTGAACAGAAATAATGTCCAGTATAGAATATAAAGTCCTGCTGCAGTGGAGACAGAATGAATATTGTGTCTGACTCCATCATGAGCTTGGAGGACTGCATCCATACATCTCTGACATGACTCACATCACTGATTAATAAAGTCATCTGGAATGGCAAAGAAAGCGTTCAGCAGGACTCCCAGAGTTTATCAAGAGTCTTTGGATTCATCTTCGCCTCCTCCTTCATCTTACCCCAGACATGCTCAATAATGTTCATGTTTGGTGACTGGGCTGGCCAGTCAATTTAATTCAGCTTTATTTGTATAGCGCTTTTACAATGCAGATTGTGTCAAAGCAGCTTCACATAAATGGTCATAGTAACTGGAACAGGGTAGTTCAGTTTTTAGTGTTTAAGTTCAGTTTAGCTCAGTTCAGTGTGATTTAAAGTCATTACTGAGAGTCCAAACACTGAAGAGCAAATTCATCGATGCGTAGCTCTACCGATCCTGAACGATGCGAGGCAGTGGCGACAGCGGAGAGGGAAAAAATCTTCACCGATAGGAGAGTGAAGAAAAAAAACCTTGAGAGAAACCAGACTCAGTTGGGCACGACCATTTTAATTTCTCCGCTGGCCAAAAGTCTTGTGCAGAGCTGCAGTCTCAGCGGTGGAGGCTGGAAGATGGCCTCAGCGAAGACTCGTCTGTCCCTGGAGCGTCACAGGAATCAGACTCATGCTCTCCACTCCCCCATGACCAGCACAGCAGCAGCTCAGGATACGGCCTGGTCCCGGATATGGACACCTTGGGATCATCTCGTCGCTGGTCTTGGATCGAATCAGTGACTCCGCATAATCTGAGGGCCTCGGGATGAGTATCCCCAGGTGGAAATGGAGAATAATTAGCGTAGCTGCTGTTCATAGTGTATATAAAGTTTAAAAGAAATTTCTTTTACTTTATTTGTTATTAAGTATTTATAAGGTATTCCAAATTTTGGGCCATAACAAATCATTAACATAGCTATTCCAGAAAGTCATTACATGAGAGACAACATCCCTTTGAAAGCGAGTTTGAATTTGTTGACTATTATTTTTAATAGAGGAGGACATGCAGATTCAACCAACAGCAGTATCAAGAGGATCCAGGAACAGTAAAGGAGAAGGGGAATGTGTTTTTACAAAGCATTTGTAAACCAGAGGGGACAGCAGCATCCATTACTACAGCATATTCTACAGGAGTTATTGGGATTTTAAACTTAGGTAAAAAATCTGAATAAGTTAAAAGAAGGCCATCTTGGTTTAAAAGTTGGCTCACTAAATTTATATTATTATTGAATCAATTTTCAAAAAACAATGCTTTGGATTTAAATAAAATATGCTTATTATTCTAAATGAAACATCTATTGGGTGAGAAATTGTGTTTACAAACCAAGTTCCAGGAAACAAGCATTCGTTTGTGAATGTTTGATAGTTTTCAATGCAGTTTAGAAATATTATAATTACAAAGTAAAAGAAAATGGAGACCTCCAACAACCTTTGAGAAAATGCAATGAGAGAGGAGGTTAGACTATTTATTCATTCATTCATTCATTCATTCATTCATTCATTCATTCCTTCATTCATTCATTCATTCATTTATTTATTTATTTATTTATTTATTTATTTATTTATTTATTTATTCATTCATTTATTTATTTATTGTGTTTTAAAAATACAAACATATTAATCATAACAATGGATGACATCAAGTACAATGGTAAATAAGTAAAATTAATAATAAAATAATATAAATAAAATAAAAAATAAACAGAGTACTGAGGCAAATGATCAAATGAAGCAATATTTACAAAGTCCTTACAAAATTTCACAGTTTTAACACTTTTTTGCTGTAAACATTTTGTAAAGCAGTAAATAAACTCAGTCACAAAAAAATCTGCAACTTTTTCTGCAAAAAAGAAAATTTACATTTGAGAATATAATATTTACCCATAAAAAATAAATAAATTGCCTATAAATTATATTATGTTTGTCATGAGAAAAGTAACAAATTATATCATACATGGAAAAGTCAATGTTAAACTTGATGTTGAAATTGTGATGACAAATAGACGGATGAATCATACCAAAACATATTAACTCGTGGACATTTGACAAACAGATGATCAATTGATTCGTTGCTTGCGTTACAGAAGTCACAATTTGAGTTAGGATTACCGAATTTACATACAATTTCATTTGTGGGGTAGATATTGTGTAACACTTTTAAATGTAATTCTTTAAGTTTGATGGGAACACACAATTTGTAAGGTAAGAGCTAAGCTTTTTTTCCAATTAATTCCAAAGAGAGGGGGTTAGACGAATGTCCGTAGAGTCGGCTGTAATGAAGTCAGGTGCACACGTAAGTGAAAGCGCTTCACTGATTGGCTGTCTGCGTCTTGACTCCGCCTATCCCGGAATCCGCGTCCGCTGAGAGGTGACGTGACGTCGAGTGTTGTTTGCCATGATGGCGTCTTCCACGGATCAGAATCTGCTGGATCTCACGGATAAAGACACCCGGGAGAAACTCTCTTTCTGGGACCGACGAGTGGACCCCATGGCGCCGTTAACAGACAGACAGACGGACTCGATACTGGAGCTCCGCGCAGCCGCAGAAGAGACCCTCCTGCCCGCTGAGGTGAGTGAAGAAGAGCCACGCTAGCCGGACAGCTAATATCAATACACATAATAAACACAGTCCTTCACTACTGAGGGCCCTTCTGCTGTCTAGCGCACTAGAAACAGCTCGAACCCTCATCAGGCTAGTTTGGTGAGGTTTGTAGCTGATGAACTGCCACGTCTCTGATACATGCAGAATGTAAATGAATGAGGTTAGCACAACAACACTTCCAACCTTAATTGAGGTAAAGTTGGTTTTATATGCACACGTTCAGACTTTCTCCTCAACAATATAATTTCACAAAAATATTGTTTGCCAATTCTGAATAGTGAAATCATATTAGCAGACAATGACTATAAAAGTACACTCCACAGTCATATAAACAGTGCTAATGTTATTTTCAAGTCATACATGCGTGTAATTTTAGACCGAATATGCAGTAAGTTATCATGGTGAACAATAAGGAGAATGTTCACATTTAAAACCAACGTTACCTTAATTAATTAAAAACTCTTGAAGTGTTAATTTAGGAAACTTTATTGATAGGAGTAGAACACCATGAAGGTTTTCAATCTGTCCGCATGAAACATACTAGTAATTTATAGTGATTTGAACCATACTATAGTAAAGTGTAAAACTGGACTGACACCGTTTTAATCTACTAACTCAGGCCCGTAGCCAGCCTGGTGAAAGGGTTGTTTTTTTTCTTTAAAAAGTGGACCTTTTTTCAGTTATAAGCCTCAGTTTCTATTTAACTATGCGAAATGCTGCATTTTAGTGACATTTTAAGCTGTACTTTTCTACTTTTTTTTTTTTTTTTTTTTTTTTTTTTTTTTTTTTTTGCTGGATTAGCTTGTCAGATGTCATCATAACCACACTTTTTGATGTACTAAAATATTTCCTAAAAAATTAAAACAAAACTATTTTTTTTAATACAAATTTATTATATCATATCTCACTAGGAAAAAATAGCAATCTGTTACCATTTTAAAGTAAAAAAAAAAAAACTATAGCCTACTATCATTTATTAGACAAAAAAACAAACTGGCCAGCACATTCAACTGTCCTCAGTCACAATTTGGCCATTTCAATAAAGAAATAATAATTAAAACATAATAATATTAATAAAACAATAATAATGATTGAATTCTTCTGATTTTTTTCTAGCCTCTTTGGTAAAAAAAAAAAATATATATATATATATAAATTTCTGGAAATCAGAAATAGCCAAAATATATTCAAATTAATTTAACATAGTCTGCTTCTGGTGCTTCACACCTTTTTATTGCTCATTTTTATTTCAGGAATAAAGTCCGAGATTTAGAATAAAGTTACCTGTAAAATGTTTTTCTCTATTTATAAACAATACAAGAGTCACAGAAGACTTCTCTTACATCAGATAATAGTCGAAGCAGCAGCCGACAGGGGATCCGTTTGGTCTTAAAGCCTTTTTGCATGGATTATTTTCATTATTTATGATGGCATAGCAGTCAAAATGGAACAAATGAGCTCATGTATGGGACAAATTCTAGACCTTTGTCAGTGAGGGGTGAGTTTTCCGAACCACCCAAACCCCCCTGGCTACAGGCCTGAAAAGTTTAACGTTTTATACTTATTGTAAACATGTTTTAACAGAGTTTTGGCTGGAAAAGAGCACCTTCAGGTGTTTCAGGCGCAGGTCAGATTTTCTCCAGGTCATAATGTATTTTGTTTATATCAATTTTGTCTAAAAAATGATTAGACCTGTACATTTTCATGTGGAATGCATCCCAGATCACCTTCTGAAGTGGTTTGAGCGATCGGATTTATATCCGATCAGAATAAAAGGAATGAAGTGAGCAAACAGCCTCAAAAACACAGACGTGACGTGAGGGGATTAGCGCCTTTTGCTGTGAAGTGACATCTGACGACTGACTCCGCCATTAAAGCCTTCGTCGGACAGTTCTTTAAAAGGAATAATGGCAAAAATAGGAAAAGGGAGGTCATGTACTGGACAAGTCAATAAATATACAGGACGTCAAATTTGGACTCAAATTACTGGCCAGAGTTATTTAAAATGACACTTTATTGCAATATATATTAAATATAAATATATTAATTATAAAATAAATATATTATTTAATGTTAAATTACATAAAATAATTAAAAGGACAAATTCTGGACCTTTTGGCCGTGAGGGGATTGTTCGTTCAAACCTGATCCCCCTCTGGCTACGGGCATGTAACTTAGAACTTATATGTTAAACTGCTTTGACACAAACTACACAGTAAAAGCGCTATAGAAATGAAGATGGATTGAATATTTACAGCTTTATTGATGAATGCTTCAGCATACTGTAGTATTAACTATAGTAAACTGATAAACTGTATCTTAGTGTACTTTAGTTTTTACTACAGTAAACTGGTGGGTTGTAATATAATATACCCATATCAGTTCTCTGCACTTCTCTTCAATAGCTGTCTGGTTTAGCTCAGCAACCTAATCTGACGTCTGAAGACCATGTTGAATAGTCGGGACTGCTGATCGAATCACTGGTACTAATAGTTGTTGTGCAAACACATATTTACTATGTCAGATTAATTGATTTCTTTACTATAGTATGATTATAGAATTGTTGAAATGAGTGGACCTTGGTGAAATAGAGTTGACCTCAGTGTCTACTGTAAACTGTGTGTGTTTAATAACTAGTTTCTTATATTTATGATCAATGATGTGTGTTTCTCCTCAGCTGCCAATCGAGGACATCTGCAGTCTGTCGTCTCGCTCGCTGCGCTCGTCTTTCACTGCTGCTCTGCCCGAGTCCACTGAAGAAGTGCTGCTGCAGGGCTTTCAGATGCTGGAGCTCCACAACCACCGGATCGAGACGGCACAGCAGGTCTCACACACTCATTCACTCCTGCACTTCTGCACACTGGTGCTGTTTAATAAAATGTGACACTTGGGACTTAATTATTTATTTATTTAATTATTTATGTAATTAATTATCTGTAATACTATTTTATTATTTTTCCTTTATGTAATTTTATGTTTGTAAAAAATAAATGATACATTACAGGGTTCAACGCTATGGATTTTTTCTACTGGCCCGATCGGACCAGTGGTTCAAATTTTTACTTGCCCTGCCAATATTTTCACTGGCCCTACCAAAAAAAAAGTTGATAGTTATTCCTTAGCCACAAATTTAGAAAAGAAATGTGTCAAAATGTTCGTAAATCTAGAATTTAATTATTTATAAAATGTTAATAAATGTGTGATGAGCAAAATTCAAAGTATTTTGCACACAAAAGTAGCAAAATATGCAGGTATTTTATTGCAAAACAAAGGATGGCTGACCTGCCAAACTGACGGCAAACTGTACAAAACATCACGTCGTGGCGTACCCTCATAAATGTCTGCTTCCAAGACGTTAGAAACAAATGTTTTCCTTTAGCATCATCACTTGATGTTGCCGCCATGTTGCTGTCTCTTCGCTGTACTGGTTGTTACGAAAAAAATAATGTGTTCACAACATCCAATCAGATAAGAAGAACTGAAAAGGTAGCATTTAAAGGCTTAAAAACACAAACTGTTTCTCGATTCTGACTGTTTTTGTCACAGGAGGGGCCCGATCGGGCCTGTAATGATCCTGTCTACTGTCCCGAGCATCTCACATGCTGGCCCCAGGCCATCGGGCAGTCCTTGTTGTTGAGCCCTGCATTATATAATACAGTGTATCATATATATTAGTAATAAAAAAATATAAATTATTATAATTGAAAGCCTCATAAATTCTCCAAGATCAGTATAGAAGTTATTAAAAAATGAATTATGCTCCGTGTAAAGAGTGAAAGAATTCACAACTATTAAATTCATTCCAGTCTGTTGTTTCAATGTACAATATTACGATCACATGACTAACAGCATCATCTTTCTGTCTCAGTTCTTTTCCTGGTTCTCAAAGCTGCAGGTTCAGATGGATCAGGATGAAGCCTCCAAGTACAGGTGTGTGTATGCATGTGTGTTTTGATTATGGCTTCCTGGCATGATTAGGCATGGGCTGATGTGAGATTCTAAAGGTGTGATAACCATGGATAAATCTCATGGTATTGTGGTTATTGCTCTAAAATATCTTGTAAATGTCTGGGTAAAAAACGACAAAATTTCTCCCCGTTATATATTTTATTTTAAGAAACATTCATAGTATTTTGGAGCAGTAAACATGTCAGTCTAAATCATAAAAATAAATCATTGACTTCTGCTGTCTTTATTAGTTTCAGTTGGTCTGTAAATAGTCTGTAGCAGAGATGCCCAAAGTTGGGCCCGCGGGCCAGAGTTGGCCCATGGTTACTTTTGGTTTGGCCCACAATCCCATATGAAGAGGGAAGGAGAATGATGGGAAGTGGTTGGGACTGGTGCCTTTGACAGAGATTTCGAACTTAACGTAACCTTTTTTTTTTCTTTGTATAATTGCTGAGCTACCAAAATCAGCTGAAACTGAACTGAAATTCAATGATTTAATTAAATGTTGTAAATCAATCAAAATTTTGAATAATGCACAAGACATGTACAAGCAAATCAAGGTAAAGGCAGGAGCAGCTGGACCAGCGTATTCAGCATTGAACTCTATTGTGTTCAAAATGGGATTATGTTTTTACACTAATAAGTTTATTATGAAATGTAAACATGATACTCCATTAGTTAATAATCAACATTTTCTAGTTATTTTTAAATGTTACTAAATAAATTTGGAAATTACCCATGGCAAATTTGATGTATATTAGGGATGCTCATTTCGGTTAATTTTGCTAACCGACAACCGCCGCTCATTAATCTGATATTTAAGGTTAACTGGTCAGATTAATATTAAATTATCATGACTTTTTTTTTAAATTGATTTGTCTATTTTGTGTCTGACACATTAAATATTTCATTTTAAAATGCTGATTTATTTTAACATTCTAGCATATTAATAACAGAACATAAACAGAGCATCCTTATGCACCTGCGGTGTTTCCAACAGCATAGAAGAACATAGTTTATTAATAAACTTAATAAAATAAATAGGCCTGCCCTAAATTATTTTTTACTTAAATGATTAATTTATATTACAAATGAAAACACTGACTGAATCTTTTTAAGAACGAGCATAGGCTGTTTTTTCCAATCATATGTTTTTGTCTTCCATCAAATAAAAATCGCAGACTTCCTCAAATCGCTCGCTCCACGGAAAATATGCATTTAGGTAATGCCTCACTGTTATCATATCACAAAACCTTTTTACATTTTAAATTATTATATATTTACGAGGCAAACACACAGAAATGCCATCAAGCGTGCTTTACTTGGATATAAACAACATCATCACAACAATACATCACATGGCTTAAATAGTTGTCAAGAACCAATGAATAGCCTGACCGACACCCAGATCACTACACGCACACATTATCCCGATACACCACATCACCTTCCCTCTTAAGATAATCCTCACATAAATCAAACATCACAAAATACAATTCAACATTACTTAATTACTAATTAACTTAGTCTTTAAAGCGTTGTGGTAACTTAATCGTTTGTTTTAGATCGTCGTGGGCCCACTGGGCTTGTCGCCCCAGATACAGGAAGTCCAGATTCATTCTCAACAGCTGGAGACTCCGTCAACCCTGAATTTTGGCTGCTTGAATCAAGTTTCGCAATAGCCCATAAGTGGAAGCACCAACAGCACTTAGTAATGTCGCCACTTGCTTTGTATCATCCACATCATTAGCAATCATGAATAACTCCACTCGCTCAATATATGCTGACCAGGGCTGCGTCCGAAACCGCATACTTCCATACTATATAGTACACTAAAATCAGTATGTGAGCCGAGTAGTATGTCTGAATTCATAGAATTCGAAAAACAGTATGCGACAAGTACCCGGATGACGTACTACTTCCGGGGAGGTTCTAGAGTGCGCATCCCATGCATGCTGCGCTATCCCATGATGCCCCGCGAGCGAATTCATGAATGGGAGTAAAGCGACGCAACTGACGCAGGTAGGTCACGTGACCATGACAAAATGGTGGATGTAGTACGTCCGAATTCCATTCATACTTTTCACGTTCATACTGTACAGAACGTACTTTTCTAACGGCCGAGTAGTACGTTTAAATTCAAATGCAGCACCTACTGAGTAGTAGGTGGTTTCGGACGCAGCCCAGGACTCATTCTTTGGTTTATACTCATCTAATCTTCCGATTTGGGCCATATCCACACAATTTTCCTCGTCGCCAGTTTGTTATATATTTACGAGGCAAACACACAGAAATGCCATCAAGCGTGCTTTACTTAGATATAAACAATGTCATGACAACAATACATCACATGGCTTAAATAGTTGTCAAGAACCAATGAATAGACAGACTGACACCCAGATCATTACACACACACACACACACATTATCCCGATACACCACAGAAATCATTATTTTAAAGATTACGTCTTAATGTATGGTTTCTTCTCACTCATAATTCAAGTGCGCGCGCTGCCTGATGAAAAGACAACAACAACGCGAGCATATGTTGACTTTTTGTAAACTGTTTTGTTGTTTAAATATAATAATGCATTGATGTGCATACATGCTTTATAAGCTGTAAAATGAAAGCTAAAGCCTATTTGTTGTGTTTATGACGCAGATCCAGGAGGCTGTCAGCATCAGCGCTGGTTTGGCATCATCTCGTCTGTATCAAACAGCAATATTCTTCTTTAATTTTGCTTCTATGGCAATTATGTCTGTAGGCACGTGTGGTCATACGTTACCATCCCTCGAGTTAACAAATATGTGTTGCAGTTGCACATTAAGGGGTCGATCACAGCGAACGCGGTTTTCCGTTCCACAAATGTAAGGCGCACCAAACTACTTTTATGTTGACAAGGAAAAAAGCAGCACGGTGCTCTTTATGTCACTAGGAGATGATTGAATCAGCTGGTTATTGATTGTGCAAGAGTGTTGCTGTCTATGTCGTTACAATAATTAATAATATTGTGATATTCAAGATTCGTAAAGTCTTACAGCTCTGGATAACTTGAAACAGCGAGCACTAGTCTCTCCTCCATCTTCAGTGTTTCCTCTTGGATTTTTTCCAGCTGTGGTGGCAGACCTTTTACACAAATCTACCAACTACCTATGCATTATTTCAATGACAAATGGAGAAATGTGGTGAGTGCAGTATTACAAGTCGAGATCGCATTTACGTCCAATACGAGTGTGCTTGCGTGCCGATTTCCTCTGCTCGTGCACAAAACCCCCTCAAATATACGCTGCTCAAGCAAAGATCTTCTTGTGCGCTCTCAAATAAACACTGCTGAAATGCGGTTTAGTGCGTTTATGTAACAAGTATGTCTTCAACATTTATTAGATTTGCTAGGAATATTTATGAATGTCTCCAATAGACCTACAGAGCGGCGTTAATGCATCTTGAAGTAAAGTAAAACAGCTATAAACTCCAGCAAGATAAAGTCATTTAATGCAGAGCCATAGACCTTTATAAAAGATAAAGAAATACTCTATAAATAAAGTGTAATTATGGAAATTTAGTTCGTGCTAACTGAAAGCTACGTCGTGTTTACTGGCCTCACGCACACGTCAGCATGTTATCTCAAAGGGTTAAACAAATAGCGCACAGCACTATACGGTTACAGAAAAGTTTGCACTGTTATAATTCAATTATGTTTTAATATGTTTTAGTGCGATTATAACACGCTATTAAAAACAAAAACAACAATGACTGAATGTTATGATGGAGAAGCTGTAATGTAGCTGTGGAGGGATGCATTTTGATGTGGCGCCCTGCCATGGAAGAATGAATGTAGCGGAAACCATGCTCTTTAAAAGTTTTCTGTGGTTGTCTTGACAACACACACTGCTGCTCTGGGATAAGCCGCATGCAAAACACTTGCGGCTTTTAGTAAACCATTCAAAGGATGCCCCTCTTAACGCAAAAAGCACATTCGATCGGCCTCTTATGCAGCCAAACTAAAAATATATAAAATAATATTTTTAATTGTTTAACTGATACCATTAATCGGTTGCAAACGCACCCTTTCGGTTAACGATTAATCGATTATTTTGAGCATCCCTAATATATATGGTTTGAAATATATTCAGTGCACAGCCCTCAATCAAGTTTGCTTGTTGGCCCTTTATAGGAAAAAGTTTAAACACCCCTGATCTATAGAATGTTAGTCTATAAGTGATTTGTTTTTCAGATGTTTGCTGAATCATGAAGTAGATTTTAATGTGGAGGGTCATTTGCTGATGGAGATTCTGTTGCCCTTTTAAAAAGTAAAAGTCAAATAACAAATAAAAAAAAAAAAACACTTGCATAGACCATGACATGGTATAGCAGAACATTTTAGCATTGAAACCATGAAATCGGTTATCGTCCCATGCCTATTCACGTTCATGTAATGTTGTTTAATGTATATATAAAGCTGTAAAGTTGGTTTTTGCTCCACAGGAAGACTCAAGATGTTCTGAACGGCTATCAGGAGCAGTGCGACGCCATACTGAACGATGTGAACACTGCTCTGGATCATCTGGACTCTCTGCAGAAGCAGTATCTGTTTGTGTCCACAAAAACAGGAACACTGCATGAGGCCTGTGAACAACTGCTGAAGGAGCAGGTCTGTCTTACACTGCTCATCTACAAAGGTCACAGCTATACACACACACATACAATTGAATTCAGAATTATTAGCACTCCTGTTAAATTTAAGTTCTTTCAATTATTTTTTTCCCACTTTCTGTTTAGCGAAAAGAAGATTTTTCTTTAGTCGTGATAGTTTTAATAACTCATCTCTAATAACTGATTTATTTTCTCTTTGCCGTGATGACAGTAAATAATATTAGACTAGGTATTCTTCAAGACACTATTATACAGCTTAAAGTGACTTTTAAAGAGCCCCTATTGTGGGTTTTCGAAAATGAGCTTCCATGTAGTGTGCAACACAGATCTAAGTGAAGTGAAATATCCAGCTAACGCTTAAATCTGAAAGTGCATAGTTTTTAAAACTATTGATTCATGTAAAAAAAGAGTCGACTCATAGTGGTTAGAATGAATCATCTTCATAACGAGTCTTTAACCGTTTTGGCGTGACGTGACTACGAAACATAATTGGTGTGGGCGCAAACCTGAGAAAATGTAAACCTGCGCCCCGCCCACTAACACATCCGCGAAGACAAACAGATCCTGAAGTGATGAGTCAAGAAGACGCTGTGCTTACCTGGATATTATTGGAAGTGTGAGGGGAAATAATTGATTCAGCAGTCTACACGCTTACAGTGGGCGATTCATTCGTTTGTTAAAGGAAGGATCAGAAAAGACTGGTGTATGATGCTGCGTTCACACCAGACGCGGAACGCGCATCAAGCGCGAGTTATCAATGCAAACGCGCGAAAAGACATCCTGCTGCGCGATACGAGCGAATGGCGTGGCGCGAATGACGCAAATTGCGCGAATGGCGCAGGGCAAATTGAGCTTAACGAGCGTTTCGCGCGAATCTCTCAAGTTCGAAAATCTGAACTTCAGCGTACATTCGCACCGCGTTAACCAATCAGAAGCTTGCTCTTGTGGGGGCGTGATTGTGACGTAGAACCTGTTGTCGGTGTTACGAGGGAAATCTTCCAGCCGTCATCCAGGTTTCTGTTTATGAGCTCACAGAGCTGGATGCACCTCTGAAAGGATGTAGTGGACTCAGACACGACCCTAAACTTATCGACGCTGTTTTTCAGTCTTCATAAAGCACATAAACACTGTTATTTTCTTCATAAAATCCATGTTAGCCGTTTAGCTATGAAGCTAGAGTCTTCGGGCAGACAGAAGCCCTGCCCATCACGCGAATCCGCGTTTGTTCTGAAGTGAATTTGACACGCGAATGAAGCAGGGTTTGATGCGCGAATGAAGCGAGTAAACTCAAATGTTCACGCGGCTATTTACGCGCGAATAGCGCGATTTATCAGTGCGTTCCGCATCTGGTGTAAACACAGCATGAGACTTGTGAGAATGGGCAGACAATACACCAGGGGTGCGTGCAAAATAAGGCCAGTTTATTAGGCACAAAGGCAGCCTGCTACATGCTGGTGAGCACTACAAGCCCCTGGCTGGGGATGGGATCTTACAGGTAAGCCCTGAGAACATATAACACTTCACGCAAGAGGTGCCACAGCAATAATTGCAAATAAAAATGATCTAAGTTACAGCTGAGAAGGGAGAAAAGCTCGGTCACGAAAATCAGGCTCAGTAAATAATGTGCACGCTATCGGTTTCATTTGCAATGCTAAGTGCGGTTCATACTTCCCGTGCGGGGGTTATGACCGTCATGGGGTTATCTCGCGGGCCCGTCTGCCGGGGGCTTGACAAACTGCGCTGGGCATTTGTCTTGTGCTGGGCATTTGTCTAGTACTGAACGCTGTCGACCAATCGCAACAGGCTGTCATCGGTCCAATCAGCGCAGATTAGCTTCGCACTAAGGAGGGGTTTGGGAACAAATGAATCGCTGGATGGTTCATATGGGAGTCGCTTGGGTAATTGGGTAAAAGTAAATGCATATTAAGACCATGAAGCTATTTTTTGACCTTGCATGCAGATCAGTATGTTGTTGGAGATCCATATATCCGAAATATGAATTTTCATGTATAATATGGGCTCTTTAAAGGCTTCACTAGGTTAATTAGGGTAAAGTTAGGGTAATTAGGCAAGTCATTGTATAACAGTGGTTTGTTCTGTAGACTATCCAAAACTAATATTGCTTATGGGGGCTAATAATATTGAGCTTAAAACGGCTTTAAAACAATTAAAACCTGCTTTTATTCTAGCCCAAATAAAACAAAAAAGACTTCATTTTCATTTCATTATCATTAATATAAGTATTAATACGACTATCATTATTAAGGTTGCAGTAGTTGTTGTAGTAGTAGTAGTCTTTGTTGTATCGATTGTAATTGTATTTTGCAGTAGTAGTTCCTGTAGAAGTTGATGTCGTTGGTATAGTGGTAGCAGAAGTAGTAAAGGTGTCGTTGTAGCAGTAGTAGTAGTAGTCGTTGTAATAGTATCGATTGTAATTGTGATTTATTGAAGTATTAGTTCCTGTAGTAGTTGATGTCGTTGGTATAATGGTAGCAGAAGTAGTAAAAGTGTTGTTGTAGCAGTAGTAATCGTTGTTAGTGTATTTAGTACCAGTAGTAGATGTTGTTGATGTAGATGTTGTAGTAGCAGTGATTGCGGTAGTAGTAGTAGACATTGTATTAGTTGTAGCAGACACTGTAGTAGTATCAGTAGTGGTGGTCATTGTCAGGGGCGCAACTGCACATTTACTCAGATGTATGCGAGTTCAAGTTTTGCGCCCCCCCCCCCCCCAATTTAATTTCCTCATCAACATGTCGAAGTTCTGAACGCAACTGAAATAGTATGAAGTAGTAAAAGTATAATTACATTAAGCATGCTAAGTCACAAAGAATTACATCTCATCCCTTCCCAAATTTCTTCTTAATTCCATTTTCCTCACCAAATGATTATAACACCTTGATATGTCTTGTTTTTGTTCTTTTTGTACATTTGTCCAAACAAAATGATAAATATGGGAGTCGTAAAGGGCAAAAGAACTTAAAAATGCAATAACTTCTCACATGCATGTCTTCGCATGAACAATAAATTGCTATCACACCTTTTACAAAATGAAATAAAAAAGACTGTACAATGTTTAGTTAAAAAAATAGAGACAAACTGCCTGAAAAGTTTTACTTGATCAAAATGTTATAGGCAAACTTTTTGGGAACTAAATTGAACTAGTTTTAAGCAAAAAAAAGTTACCAAAAGGCCTGATGTATCAATATGATACATAATAAATTTATAAAAAACATGTATATGGTATAAAAATGGATCTTGATGGGATTAATAAACATGACAGTTCCAAAAAATGAGAATATTCTGACTATTTGTTCGTGTCAGTTTTAACAGGGTTAAGAATCATTATAATTAGGTATCTAAAATTTATATAGGGGCATTTTTTAATCCAAGTATTATTTTCTATTTTGTCTAAAATATATTCAGTAGGCCCACACGGAGTCTACATGCGCAGACATCTGCAGTTTTCTACAGATTTTTAGCCCATCATTGAGTCTATGTATTTACTTGTGTAAATTTGTGTACATTTATATTTACTCAGTATTTAAATTAATTTCACTAATATTATTGTGATATAATAATAGTAATATTAAAATGTTCATATGATTTATTTACAATACAGTTGGTTAAGTAGTATTTTCTGCCTGTAATTCTTAGCAGAAATAGCAAAAAATGTTTGCAGATTCTGTCTGGCCCTAATATTTAGGGTTGTAGCCTACTTTTAAACATACATTTTGTGTAATCCCTCTTATTTTTGCAAAATAATTAATTAGTAATAATAAAGAACATTTTTCAGATTACTCATACCTTTTGAGCTCAACTGTAAGTATGATTTGACAGTTTATTTTGATAAAACTTTTACATGAACTTTACACACGGATGTGTGACTGCATGTTATTGTTTTCAATTATTATGAATTAAAATGTGTGTGCCAACGTATGGAATTCATACCTATAAACCCTCTCGTTTTTGCCAAATTAAATCTACCATATTTTATCATTCTATCCGCTCTTCCGTGTGTGTATTTTCCCGTATTTCTTCTGCCTTTGTAATGTTTCTATGAAAAGTGAAAGTAGCAGCTACACAGAGCCGATCTCAAATGTGATGCAAGAACTGTTTAAGAGAATTAAGCTTTCACATTATTTTGGATTGACAGCACGTTAAAATTAATGTAAAAACGGCCGCATTCACGTCCTTTCTAGTAAAGCTTTGTGCGTCTATTGCCGCCCTTATGCAGCCCCTGAATCCATATAATGGTACTGAGTGACGGACGCACCCCATAGTGATAAAGACGGCTTCTATACACGCGATTTGAAGATGAATGAAAGCGCATACTTTAAGATTCAGGTGTGTAAATAGACAAATACACAATAATATGTAAACATGTTTTATTTGAAACACAAGTAATATTATCTTATATTAGCATAAACAAAACAAATGTTTTCATTGCATTCTTAAAGTCAGACTCACACCTCTGTTATCAAACAAAACAGAGGATCAAACTAAATTCATTTTTGCTCTTTTGTAAATAACTATAGTAACTGTAATCAATATTTAAATGCAGTAAATAAAAATGTTCTCTTTTGAAGTTGACGGTCCATAAATCTACTACTATCAAAAGCGTTTACCATAAAGTTAACTTTACACCAGCTCATCATCATCATGGCTTTAGCCTATAGAATTATAGTGTTTTTCGCATACTATACAGGATGCAAATATGCGATTTCGGACGCAGTTAGGTGTGGCCGTGCGTCACTGTCCCCCTGCCTGGACAAAACCACCTCGCCTGCATTTATTTTAAGTAAAAGCCCATGCATGCAGTGACTGAGTGGCGATAATGAATAATTAATGATATGGCTGCCCGTCGCTCCCAAAAACATTAGAAGTTGATTAAATGTATGGTAATAATAGTGTGGGTTAAGCTTACCAATCCCTTATTATCCAATTTGTCATGGCAGTTTTCATTTTAAGGCATTGTTTGTTCTCTTTTTGTTTTCTATTTCGCGCTCCACGTCTCTTTACTCTTCTCTCCATTTTGAACATGTGACTGTAAACGAGCAACGGATCAATCAAATGGTCAAAGAAGAGGGAGGGGTGGTATAATTTTTTTTATTCAATAAAATACAATTGTATATTTATATAAAATGCAGGATAAATATTTTTAATCAAAATATGTATTTATATGTATAAAAAATATATAATTATAAGAAAAAATTTAAAAATAGTTTTGGCACAATGGCGCCCCCCCATGTGTGGCGCCCCTATGCGCCGCATATACTGCATACCCCCTTTTTGCGCCACTGGTCATTGTTGTGGTAGTATCAGCAGTAGTAGACATTATAGTAGTAATAGTTGTGGTTGTGACTGTAGTAGCAGCAATAGTAGTTGTAATATAAGTAACTTTCTGTAGCAGTAGTTGGTGTAGTACTTGTGATTTATTATCATTGTCATTTATTATTACTGTTGTCCTTTCTTTCTTTTTACTGTCATTATTACTATCATACATTACTAAGCATTGTTGTTACTCCCTAACTCTGATTGGTTTCTTTCTATCTGTTTTACTTATATCTGCGATACTTGCTTCATTTATTGGCTGATATTGTTCCTAATGTGTGTAATCTGACCTTTCCACCAAGTTACCTTTACATGGACACACACACACACACACACACACACACACACACACACACACACACACACCCCCACACACACACACACACACACCTAACAGTACCTGACTATATTGTTTTTGTTTTTTATTGTTGTATTGTTATGGTTTTTTGTTGATGTTTTTTTTTGTATTTGTATGATCCCAATTTATGTACCTTTTTGCATATTCTAATACAAAAAAATAATAATAATTTTACTCTATATATAAACACAACAGTATATTCACTCAGTTTTCAGAGTCACACGACTCTTTAAAAGTCATTCTAATAAGATGATTTGATCATTAATAAACATTTGATTATTATCAATGTTAAAAAGCTGGTGTGCTGCTTCATATTTGTCTGGAAACTGTTTAATGTTATAATTTAAAAGAAAAAAAAACATACTTTTAGTCATCAGGGATACATTAAACTTATAAAAATATGATAATAAATGCATATAAAATGTTATGAAAAATTCTTTATAAATGCTTTTTTTTTTTTTTTTTATAAACCCAAGAATCCTAAAAGATCATTTCAATGTGGTCATGTCATTGGCTCATGAACATTTCCTGCTTGTTATCAAACTATTTCATAACTGTGACAAGAGGCAATTCGATCACAACTTGATGTTAAAAGAGCTAGCATAACACTATTTATCAATATTTGGTTCTTTTTGGATTTTTAGAAGCTATCGGAATTAAAAATGTAAAACTGGAAATACGTTGGCACCATTGTTTTTGTTTACATTCCCTAAAATTGTCTATATGGACTCAATCTCAGTTTAACAAAAAATTATATTAGTAAAATTACTAATATTTTACTTGTTACATACGTTTAAAATGTTTCCAACATTGTTTGTTATTTAATAAACAAGCTACAAATCATCACATTACAATGATATTTGAATTATTATGTTACACTTCAATAATAATGCTAACAATTCTGAACCAAAGTAATAAATTACAAGTTACCATGTATCCATTCATTCACAATTTGTAATAATATTTCATCACTTTTACTGTAAAAAGACTCCAATCTTAATTACTCCATACGTTGTTGCTAGCTGTTGTTGTACTTGTAGTAATAGCAATGATATTAAAATGGTGACATGGTGGCTCAGTGGTTAGTACTGTGGCCTCACAGCAAGAAAGTCGCTGGTTCGAGTCCGGGCTGCGCTTTCTGTGTGGAGTTTGCATGTTCTCCCCGTGTTGGCATAGGTTTCCTCCGGGTGCTCTTGTTTCCTCCACAGCTCAAACATATGCGCTCTAGGGGAATTGATGAACTAAATTATTTGTAATGTATGAGTATGTGTGTGTATGGTTGTTTCCTAGCACTGGATTGCAGCTGAAAGGGCATACGCTGTGTAAAACATATGCTAGAATAGTTGCAGGTTCATTCCACTGTGGTGACTCCTGATAAATAAAAGGATTGAGCGAAGGGAAAATAAGTGAATGAATAGTAATATTCTGTGCGTGTGTAATGACGTTTTAAGAAGGAATAAATTATGTTTAGATTTTTATCTGATAAATAATTTGTCTTTTCTCTCTGTGTTTTCTCCAGTCAGAGTTGGTGGATCTGGCCGAGAGCATCCAAGAGAAGCTGTCATATTTTAATGAGCTGGAAAACATCAACACGGTAATGCTTTTGTTTGCATAATGCACGTGCCATATGTTTATCAGATTTATTTTAATATTCTCTCCTCCCACAGAAACTGAACTCTCCAACATTATCCGTGAACAGTGAAGGATTCGTCCCCATGCTCTCCAAATTAGACGAATGCATAGAATATGTTTCATCACATGTAAGTAATGCTGCAGTATTCTCATCGGATGATCTAATGCAGTGGTTCTCAAACTGTGGTACCTGTACCACTAGAGCTACGTGGGCTTCCTCCTTTCTTCTAATCAAATATGTCATATTGTACATCCTACATGTATTTCAAAAATTATCAAAAAAGATTTGTATATCAATGTAATGACATATAGCCTACATTTGTGAGGTCCAAGCAACAATCCCAGATGAATAGGCTACTATATGTTAATGCTTTACATTTAAGTACAGGATTTTGTTTTTACTTTTTAAAGGGCCATGAAACCCCCTGTTTCAGCAGGGTATTTTCGCACCTCTAGTTTGGTAAACGTCAGAAAAGTGGGTGTGTCTAGCTCTGTTTGGCTGGGAGTGTCAGGGGAGGGAAAAGGGGAAGGATTTGAATAAAAGTGGGAGCTTCCATTTGGGAATGCGCTGATTTTCACAGAGGAAAAACAAACACACAGACGCAGGGGAGAAAGCCGGGCTCCCAGCTAACTCTATAAAGCCTCTTCAGCTGCTTCAGAACGCAGCAGCACGAGTGGTCTTTAATGAACCTAAAAGAGCACATGTCACTCCGCTGCTCATCCGTTTGCACTGGCTGCCAGTTGCTGCTCGCATCTAATTCAGAGCTCTGATGTTTGCTTACATAGCGACTTCTGGCTTTGCCCCTTCTTATCTGCTCTCACTTCTGCAGATTTAAAGGCCCTCCAGAAACCTGCGTTCTGTGAATGAACATCGCCTCATCACTTTCCCGAACTTACTTTCCCGAACTCTCCCATTCAATCTGCCCAGTTGGTGGAATGAACCCCCTAACTGCATCAGAACGGCAGAGTCACTCGCTGTCTTCAAGAAACCACTAAAAACTCAACTATTTAGTCTCCACTTCACTTCCTAATCTGCAATTGCCTGTCTGATTCCTCCACTAACTACCACAAAAAAATAATAAAAAAATTACTACTGTTTTGCTTCTTACACTTTCTTTACAAACCTGAAACTTGCCTACAGCACATATTCATTGTTGCTCTTATAGTTGCGTAAATTGCTTCCTTGTCCTACTTGTAAGTTGCTTTGGATAAAAGCGTCTGCTAAATGACTAAATGTAAATGAAAGAGAGTGAGTGTGTTTAATAAAGGTGGAATTTTAGATACCGCACGTCGTAAAGGAGAAAAAACCCTCTGCGTTTCTCGGTAACTCAGATGCACTCGTTAGTTCAGAAAGCCGTGTGTGTGTGTAGACCAGGGGTCATTAAACTTGTTCCTGGAGGGCCGTTGTCCTACAGATTTTAGCTGCAACCCTAATCAAACTCACCTGAAAAAGCTAATCAAGGTCTTACGAAGTATACTTGAAACATCCAGGCACGTGTGTTGAAGCAGGTTGGAGCTAAACCCTGCAGAGACACCGGCCCTCCAGAACTGAGATTGGTGACCCCTGGTGTAGACAATCCTGTCACAAAATGCGGTGAAAATTAAACACGATGGTCGGCAATAGTTTGCTTGCAGTGTTCATGTTTACACTCGGAGAGCAGCATTTACAGCAGATCTTTCAGTCCATAATATTGTAGTGATGTTAACGTAAACTAAGTAACTTAGTAAATCTAAGTAAATCATTTTGACTAAGGTCTGTCTGTAAACACTGAAAGAATACTGCTGACCATACCAATGCCTCTGAATGAACAAAGAAAGGGCGCTGATAGCACACACTTACCAAATCTGTAGAGACAGGCCAATCAGCAGATACTGGAGCTGCGTCTTTTTTTAAAGGAGACAAGCAGCAAATGCCGATTTCACAATTTCCAGATGCAGAAAGCTCTCCGGTAAATCCGTGAACACTTTCCAGTAAAAACTGGTCGCACACAACAGTTTTATGCACTTGCACACATGCTCCCAAATATATTTTGAGGTCGCATAGATAAAATTTCGGGCGCATATGCAACCAAATTGGTCGCAATTTCGAGCCCTAAAATGTATTTTCTCGAGATAACAGGATTTCGTCGAGACATATTTTCCTCACGCTTGCATATATATTTTTTTTGCTTGTTAGTTTGATTACTGTTGATTTCAAATACAATAAATATGTTTGTATAAAACTTGTAGTAATGATGCATATAATTGGTGGGTGCGACTAAATTTTGACTGATGCACCTAAACTTTTAAAGTGAGTGCTACCAAGCGAAAAGATTAATTTCGAGCCCTGACTGTGTATTTACACAGTGGTGATATTCATCTATGTAAACACACCAGCGTTAAAAACAGCATTAACATTATAGCAGACAATGTAGAAAGCTCATTCCCAGCCACTAGACTTTTCTGACAGGGTATTCGAGTGTCAGAATGTTGTGGGACTGCTGTACAGGAGTTATGATTATGGATTATAGATTTAAAAATCGAAATTTAGCGTTTTTTATTTTAACATTTTTTAAATATTTTTTAAAGCATGATGGTGAAACACGGACACGGTTATGAATATATTTGAACATGTGCTTGTTTCTTGTAAAAAAAAAATCATAATAATGAAAAAAAAACTGATTTGTAGATTTCCTGATTGTGTCCCTGCTGAAATAAACAGCTTAAAGCAGCCTAGGCTGGTTGGTTTGTTTTAGCTGGTCAACCAGGCTGGTTTTAGAGGGGTCTTGGCCACTTCCAGACTGGTTTCCAGCCATTTCCAGCCTGGTCTTAGCTAGTCAGGCTGGAAAATGACCAGCTAAAACCAGCTTTACCAGCCTGGTTTAAGCTGGACATAGCTGGTTTTGGCTGGGCTCTCAGCCTGGCTAGGCTGGTCAAGCTGGTTTTATCTGGTCATCTCCCAGCCTGACCAGCTAAGACCAGGCTGGAAATGGAAGTGGCCAAAAGCCCTCTAAAATCAGCCTGGTTGACCAGCTAAAACCAGCCAAGCAGCCTAGGCTGGTTTAAGCTGTTCTTTTCAGTATGCTGCCATTGTGGCTGGTGTATTCTGGGAAAGATTTGTACCCCTTGATTTTGAGTGTGATGCTGAAAAATCTCAGTTTCAGGGGCTACCTACCCAATCCCCTTAGCCCTACGCCTTCAAGCTGAAGAGAATTGGGACACCCCTTCATGTGAATACGCAAAACAAAGAGGTTGGGGTAAGGGTAAGGGTAGAATTGGGATTGGGCATAAAACTTTGTTTAAAAATGTTGAAAAAATCTTCTCTACGTTAAGCAGCACTTGGGAAATATCTTTAAAAGAATTAATATTGCACGGGAGGGCAAGAATTCAACTGTAGGTTGAAACAAACTGATAGAATTTAATAATAATAAAAAAGCTGCTAGCGGGCCATTTTCTCCCCATAAACCAGTCATGTTCATTTATAATGCTTTCTTTCAGCCCAATTTTAAAGACTATCCAGTCTATCTGACCAAGTTCAAGCAGTGTCTGTCCAAAGCCATGCAACTCATCAAGAGCCACACTGTCAACACACTGCAGAACCTGACGGGTCAGCTCAGCAAACGGGTGCGTTCTCCAGCACTTGTTAATTAAAAAACCACAGATGATTGCATAATCTCTCGTTTATTGATTATTCATTGATTATTATCTCTTGTGCAGGATCCGCTGGGCGCTCCCAATGCAGACAATGCCTTCACACTGTACTACGTCAAATTCAGAGCAGCTGCACCAAAAGTTCGAGTAAGTCTTGTGTTTGAATATAATAGATTTAGTGCTGTCAAATGAATAATCGCATCCAAAATAAAAGTTTGTTTTAACATAATGTGTATAAATAAAACATATAAAATACAAAACCAAAATATTTGCATGTATATTTGCATTTATATATGATTTGAATTAGATGTAAATATTTAATTTACAAATATAAGTTATTTATATGTACGTATGGATGCATGTATAGGTTATGTAAATATAAGCTTTTATTTTGGTTGTGATAAATGTTTTGACAGCACTGAATATAATATAATATAATATAATATAATATAATATAATATAATATAATATAATATAATATAATATAATATAATATAATATAATATAATATAATATAATATAATATAACATATTATAATATCACTTTTTTTCAGAGGCTAATTGAGCAAGTTGAGCAGCGGTCTGAAAAAATCCCAGAGTAAGTAATGGAGAACTTTTCTTTTTCTTCTACTAACTTTTATTTTGATATTTATTTCCTTTGCAATCAATCAATGACCTTTTGTATATTTTTATATAACACTTTGCTTCAACCAATCATTACTAAAGTGCTTTACAACAATAAAAAATGACAGTATTTTTCAAAAAAATACGTTTCAAAATAAGATTTCTCACCAAAAATCATCCCATATGCTGAAACACAGAGTTAATAAGGGCCTACTCGCATTATGCTCTCCGAACCGTGCAATGGCCCATTTCCCGGATCGTTTGAGAAGTGTGACTGCTCTGAATCGGTTGGTTCACTTGGGCTTTGGCGCCTGAGCCCTTAACTGAAAGAGTGACGTGACTTTAAGGAACTGTTTGATATGGATTTATTAATCATTCTTACTGTACAGTGAACGCAAACTGTCATAGTTTATTAAATACGCAAACCCCTCACTGCACGACAGCTGCGCACCTTCAGCAAACCTCCTAATAACTGCTGCACGAGGGCTTTCTGATTGTTTGTGAGCGTCAAAAGTGGCTGATCTGTTCGGCGAAATATTTGACTGCGTGTCGACACATCCCAAACGACCAAGCGATATAACTAAAAAAATGTCCACTATGCTGAGCAAGAGCACTTCCGACCAGCGCAGCGTCGATGACGTAAGCTTGCCCAGGCCCGAATGTAATGAAAGTGTGGGCCGTCGGGGGAGACGGGAGTGGGGACAAGCTTGCTTTGGCTCGGTTGGAGGCAACTGTACATAGTGTGAGTACGGCCTAAGTCTCAAAATCAGCCCGAGTGGATGAAACGACCCAACAGCACACAAGGTTACTCTCTGGAGGCCATATTTAAAGACTGTAATGCATGCAAGCAGTTTCGATTATCCTTTACGTCCCATTCACACGGGGCGTCAGCGTCAACACTTCCCATTCACTTTGAATGGGGGACGTCAAGCGTTGCTGAACTGCATTGTGGATCCGTCGGCGCCGCTTCAGAGGCGTTGTTCGCTGCAGAAGTTGGGACTAGCTCAATAAACGTCAGCCAATAAGATCGCTGTATGCAAATACACCAGCTAGACGGTGACCTATTGTTGACTGAATTTCATTGGCTGACGCTTCTGTGACGGATCACTTCAGCCCCAACTTCAGACACGCCTTCAGTCAAGCGTTGGCGCTGAAGCCCTGTGTGAATGGGGCATTAGTTTCAGCTGTGTTTGTGAATGTGCTGTTATTGTCTGTGTGTTTCAGGTATCATCAGCTGCTGGAGGAGATTCATCAGTGTTATCTGGACCAGAGAGAAGTTCTGCTCAGCCCCAGTATAAACTCCACCATCACAGACCTCACCAGCCAGAACAACAAAGACCACTGCGCTCTGGTCAGACTAGTCATTATTTACTGGAACATTACAGGCTCTCATATATATATATATATATATATCAACACTTTATATGCACAAAACTGTGGTGGAAATGTGCGTACTCCAATGCAAAAGTTAATAAAATAAATTTGATGGGTAAATGTTTGTAGTTTGTATATGCAGTTGAAGTCAGATTTATGCACCCCCCCCCCCCCCCCTTTGAATATTTTCTTCTTTTTTAATAGATTATTTAAAAATAAAATACCCCCCCCCCCACAAACTGCACAAACCGCCATACCCGCCCCCCCCCCATTGTTTTCTCACCCTTTACTGTTTGAGTTTTTCTTCTGTTGAACACAATGGAAGATATGCTGAAGAATGCTGGAAAAAAACAGCTACTGACATCCCTATTATTGTTTTTTTTTTTGCTGCTGTTATGGATGTCAATGGTTTCTCGGTTAAATTGTTCATAATATTTTAGTGTTCAGAGCAAAGAAATTCCTAAAAGTGTAGAACAACCTAGAGTGTGAGGACATGAGGATGAAATTTTGTCTTTCATGGACTTTAATATGAGTGATGAATAATTAAATGGTTAGTAATGCTGATCTGATGGTTTCAGGTGCGCAGTGGCTGTGCATTTATGGTTCACGTCTGTCAAGATGAGCATCAGCTTTACAATGAGTTCTTCTCCAAACCTACATCCAAACTGGAGTGAGTATTTTATTTAATTTTAATTATTCAATTTAATTTTATAAATTTTATTTGACTTAAATTTTTATTTTATTTAATTTTGATTTATTTAAATGTAATTAAATGTAAATAATTAAATGTAATAATTTAATTAATTAATTTAATTGTAATTATTTATTTTAATAATTTAACTTAATTTAAATTAAATATTTGTATATTTAAATTTTATTTAATAATTCTATGAACTTATTTATTGAATTGGATTACATGAATATACGAATATATATCTCTTTGTCTGCATATGTCTAGTATTTTTTTATTTTGTATCATGTATTAATGAATTTTGATGTTATTGAATTTCTTAAGTTATTAATAAGAAATGTTTTTTTAAATTATTTTTTTATCTACAACGATCTTGCTGCAAAATAGCCATAAGTTTGCAGATGTGGAAATAAACAACCAAAATAAAATTCTCTGTTCTATGTTTAAAATTATTTTTTTTTAACTCTTTTTAATATTTTTATGCATTTATTATTTTATTTTACGTATATATATATATATATATATATATATATATATATATATATATATATATATATATATATATATATATATATATATATACAGGGCTCGAAATTAACTTTTTTATTTGGTAGCACCGGTGCTCCCAACTTCAAAAATTTAGGAGCACCAGAAAAAATTTAGGAGCACCCACCAAAAATGATTGAGCACCGCTGCAAATTGTATTTTAAGGGACTTATTGTATTTTAAAACAACATCAATTAGGACTAACAAAAACCAGAAACAACTATCTATTGCTGAGATGACATTGATATTTGTGTGCAATAATTCCAAAATGTGTATGTATTATAATTCTAGAATATTAATGATGATGAAAATGACAATAATAGTAACAATGAATTACATTTGTCATCATCATGCTGCCTTGAATGTGCTTGAATGCAAGTTATCTGCTATAAAAAGTCTGTTACCTTATGAAAAATAAATGTATAGTTTGCATCAAACAAAAATGAAGCATTGCAGTAAGAAATATTTATTTTGTACTGCTAAACAGCATATATATGCATGTCAGTTTAATAAATAATATTTCAGCTGCAAAACAAACAAAAGATTATAATAAAATATTAAATTCAAGGCTGAAAGCTGCAAAACAGTCATCAGTAACTAAATAAAAAAATATATACATCTCATGAAAGAATAGGCAAAAGAAAGTAAGTAAAGTCTCACTTCTATCACTCTTTAAAAGTTTTGGTTTCAGTTTGTGTCAATTTAAATGTTCCGTCTGAGCTGATTTTCATTTTTCTGTGTTTGTGGAAAAGCAGGCGAGTGAGCCGACCCAATTTATGAGCAGGTTGAGCATCGGCGCAATACCGCTGTGTGTTATGAGACGCAGTTTCAGTGTAAACTTAGTAAAGGCGAGCTTCTTTGGCGATGATACAGTATTAGATTTGACTTTTAGCGGACATTTGCGCTGAACACGCAGTGAATGCAACGCATGATGATTCGGGCACCTTCTCCAAGAAGCGCATACTCGATTGATCTCAGCTGGCGGATCAATATTCACCACTGGTCATGATCGCTCTCATCTGCGCCTCAACTTTAGGTGGGGTTTGCACTTTGCAAACCTGCGTGCTTTAAGTTTTCACTCTTTAGCCGTTTGCATTTACCGTGGACATAAAAGCTCCTTCCCTGTCATCTAACAGTGAAAAGCCTTGAGTGATTGACAGCTAATATGAACCAATATAGCGGCAGGGAAGAGCTATTCAGCACGTTTTAAAAAAAAAAATCAAAACAGGTCGCACTAATGCGCCCAAATTTACTATGAGGTCGCATCGATTAATTTTCGGGCGCATATGCGACCAAAATGGTCGCAATTTCGAGCCCTGTATATATATATATATATATATATATATATAGTCTGAAGTTTCAATTGATTTAATTCAGTATATTCTTTTTTAATTAAGTTAATTTCAGGAATCTTTTTTTATAGAAAAGAAAATTATTAGTAGAAATAAATGACATTAAATTATATACAGTTGAAGTTAGAATTATTAGCCCCCCTGTTTATTTTTCCCCCAATTTCTGTTTAACAGAGAGCAGATTTTATCAACATAATAGTTTTAATAACTCATTTCTAAAAACTGATTTATTTTCTCTTTGTCATGATGACAGTAAATAATATTTGACTAGATATTCTTCAAGACACTTCTATACAGCTTAAAGTGACATTTAAAGGCCTAACTAGGTTAATTAGGTAAACTAGGCAGGTTAGGGGAATTAGGCAAGTTATTGCATAACAATGATTTGTTCTGTAGACTATCAAACACACACACACATATTATTATTATTATTATATTAAGGGGCTAATAATTTTGACCTTAATGTTTATTAAAAAATTAAAAACTGCTTTTATTCTAGCTGAAATAAAACAAATAAGACTTTCTATAAGAAAAAAAATATCAGACATACTCTGAAAATTTCCTTTTTTTTGTTAAACATCATTTGGGAAATATTGAAAAAAAAAAAACAGTCAAAGGAGGTTTAATTTTTCTGAATTCAACTGTATATATTTTATTGATCCGTTTCCTTTAGCTTTTTGTGGTTGTTTTTTTTAATATTTTTAATTCTTTTAAAATTTCTGTAATTATTATATATTTATGTTAGTATCATGTCTTATTAAATTTAGTAGTTGTTGTTATTTTTGATGAAATGTTTTTTCATCTATTATGATCTTTCTGTGAAATAGCCATTAGTTGCTAATGTGGAAATAAACAAACAAAACAAAATCCTCCTTGTAATCTCCTGTTTAAATTATTTCAATATTTTAACGTATTTATTACCATATTCGTTTTTCACTGTGTATATTAACTTTTAAATTTAATATAATTTATTCTTTTGTTTTATTAGTAGTAGTAGTTTAATATTAGTATTCTTTAAATTATTTACTAGTATTTAATAATTAATAACTTCATTAATCGGTTTCATTTTTTTCAGTATTATAATTTCACTTGAAAACATCATCAGTATATTGATAATGTGATGTTTGTTGCAGTGAGCTCCTGGAGAAGCTTTGTCTGTCTCTGTATGATGTTTTGCGGCCGCTGATCATCCATGTAGTTCATCTGGAGACGCTTTCTGAGCTCTGCGGCATCTTGAAGAACGAAATGCTTGAAGATCACGTCCAAAACAATGGTAAAACAACTCTTACCTACCTGAACTTTACCTTAATAATCTAATCTGATTTAATGATCTATGCTAACCCAAGCTAAAACTGCTGTTTCTGTTTCTTTAATGTCTTCAGCATGCATGGATTTTTATTTTATTATTATTTTTTTGAGGGCCACATCAATCCAAGTGAAGGGCCACATGTCAAATCCTTCAAAAAATAACTTTTATTTAAAGTGGCAGAAAGCATGAAACATGTAATATTGGACAGAAACATGTCACATTAACACAAAACAGTTTTTTAATAGTTATTAATGAGTCAAATTTACAAGTCAAATTTAGTTGCACTGCTATTTATATTTACCCTATCAATCATCATAAAACTATAAAATAATCCCTAATAAAATATATAAATAATAATAATAATAATAATGTTATAATTTTTACAGTGGAAAATAGAAAATATATTGTCTGATAGAAAAAAATATCATATTAACACATTAAAAATAACTCTTAATAATTACTGACGTTATTCAGTCAAATTTGCAATAATCTAATTTTCACCGCTTTTAGAATATACAGATCAATCATCATTAAACTATAAAATAATATCTTATAAAATATATAAATATTAATAATAATAATAATAATAATAATAATAATAATAATAATAATAATGTAATAATTTGTACAGTGGAAATAGAAAATATATTGTCTGATAGAAAAAAAATCATATTAACACATTAAAATAATTCTTAATAATTACTGATGTTATTCAGTCAAATTTACAATAATCTAATTTGCACCGCTTTTAGAATATACAGTTCAATCATCATTAAACTATAAAATAATATCTTATAAAATATATAAATATTAATGATGATAATAATAATAATAATAATAATAATAATAATGTAATAATTTTTACAGTGGAAATAGAAAATATATTGTCTGATAGAAAAAATATCATATTAACACATAAAAAATAATTCTTAATTACTGACGTTATTCAGTCAAATTTACAATAATCTAATTTGCACCGCTTTTAGAATATACAGATCAATCATCATTAAACTTGATGAAACCACAAATCTTTCATAAAATAACTTTGAATATTTTGCATGCATACATCCACTTTAAAAAAGTTCTTTAATCAAAGATTTGTGTGTTTTATCTAGATTTACAATGATTGATATGAGCAAATGAGATTGAGCTTGTATTAATATGCTCATATCAATCATTAAACTATGAGATAAAGCTAAAGAAGAATCTTAGTCTTTGTTATTCCAGGTCATGTTATCATGAGTGTGTTAATGTGAACTATAAGCCTGGTCCCCTCTCCTCGCAAGGGTGTCAGTCTGGAGTCTGCTATGGCAAAATGTGAGGCGCAGCAGGCGGTTAAAACGCGAGGCGCGCAGGGCACATAAGCAGCGCGTATAACCCTCATGGCTGTTAATAAGCCATTCAAAAGAGACGCCTCTTAACACATAAAGCGCGTTCGGTGTGATCAGCCCCTTAGGTTGTCGTCTTTAAAAACAGCAGTACTTTCTTGGCACATTAGACATACCGCTTTCTGTCTGATCTTGGTGAAAGTATTTTGTTGTCCATTCTTCCTTAAACACACGACAATCAGAGTCAATCTTTGTTTATTTTTTGCCTGACTCATATTCAGTCATTAACGGTCGAGTGCATTTTAATATCCGAGAGTGTGCTCTAATTCTACTGGTTGCTCTAACTGCACCGCGTGCAATACTGCCATCACATGGTGTTCACTTGTAATTGCATCATTAATGTAGTCAGCTGAGGTGGCTCGGGCATCTGTTTCGGATGCCTCCTGGACGCCTACCTAGGGAGGTGTTCCAGGCATGTCCCACCGGGAGGTGGCCTCGGGGAAGACCCAGGACACGCTGGAGGGACTATGTCTCTCGGCTGGCCTGGGAACGCCTCGGGATCCCCCCCGGAGGAGCTGGAGGAAGTGTCTGGGGACAGGGAAGTCTGGGGTTCTCTCCTAAGACTGCTGCCCCCGCAACCCGGCCCCGGAAAAGTGGCAGAAGATGAATGAATGAATGAATGAATGAATGAATGAATGAATGAGTAGAATACTCAGCATAATTTGCACTTAAAGTCTTTGTCAAAGTCAAAATTCACTATTTATTTTGCTAGCACAGCGTTAGTTTGCTATGAGGGAATGATGCAGAAAAAGAAAGCCCGTTCCCCTACTCAATATCCCGTTGCACACAGACTTCTAATTTCAGTCAGCCATCCTCAGGGCTTGTGGTTAATGTCATCCCATACAAAATATCCACGTTTAAGATCTGATTTCTTTAAAAAAAAGCAGCAATCTTCTCTGTCTGGCTGAGATACGATATAAAGTTAATAACAGACCGAACAAGAAGCACTGCATTAAAATAAATTTTTCCATGCCATGTCTTTAAAATATGGAAATTTATTGTACCCCAGTATTTTCAATAGAATTTTTGCGTTGGCCTGCGGCTAATGACGGCGCTTGCATTTAAAGCACCACGAAACACCAAAACACATGTGTTGAGCTGTTGACAGTGGTATATGTGTCCCACACTGCTATAAACACTATTAGGACACATATATTTCACTAAAAAGTGTAAATTGTTTGTTTTTGCGTTATTTCAAGCAAATTCGTACTTCCGGTTTGAAACTAATTTTTGAAGCTGCGTCACGGTCATGACATAATAGCGTGTATTCCAGCGTGCAGACTGGACGCCTGTGCCAGAGTGAGTCTTATTACGTCTTACAGTGTGTTGCATTAATGCATGAGTAAGGCTTGGTTCAAACCAATCAGCGCGCTCTATTGTGCAACTTCATTAATATTCATTACTGTCAGTGTTTAGACGGCAGAGACGCCACGTTGTGTTGGCAAAACAAGCGTGAAGTGTTGCTTTTATAGTTTGCTGCAGTTGAGTTTTGTTTTCATTTTCTCTCTGTGAGAGCGCAGCTGGAGTCACGTGTGGATTAACAGTGTACGCGACGCTCGACAACAATAACTTACGTGTCTAAGGAGGATTATTGTTTACCTGAGAGCTGTTCTCATCTGCAAACGCTGATATCCAGATTCGCTTGTAGTCTCCTCTTAATAAAGACGCGGCTCTAGTTGCTGGTGATTGTCCTGTCTCTACAGATTTGGTAAGTGAGCGATCAGTGCTCTTTGTTTATTCAGTTTGTATCTTATTCGTATCGAACAAACTATTGCACCGAGTGTAAATAAGTTAGCATTAACAGTTACAACCAAACTATAACCTCGTGTTGGATTTTGTGACGGGAATAACACACGCGGCTTTCTGACGCTACCTGCCGTGTGCATCTAAGTTTCCGGGAAATGCTGAGTTATTTTTCTCTCATTCGCCGTGCGGTATTAAACATTGCATGAAAAATACACGCTTAGAGCAGATCATCAAATCAAATATCTCGTTTGTCGCGAGGGGCATGAATGAATTCCCTGAATGAAAGAGCCAAACTGCAGTTAAAGTCCACCATTTAATAATTTGGTAAATAATTGGACTACAGATGTCCATGTAAACACAATCACTTTCTCCCCTGTTGGGTGTGTGTTTTGACTCTGAAATTCAGCGCGCCCAAATAGACACTCCCACACCATGCCTCTTTTCTTCCTCCGACACTCCTCCCTAAACAGAGCTGGACACACCCACTTTTCTGACTTTTTCCAAAGTAGAGGTGTGAAAACACCTGCTGAAACGAGGGGGTTTCATGGCCCTTTAAACGTTTTTTCGTCTCTTTTTACACGTGAACAAGTAAATGAATGCTGAAGTCTATTTAACTGAATGCGTTTTAATTACATTATAACATTAATGCTGCAAAAGGAGCCTTATGAAATTAAATAGTCACATACAGCTCTCACCAGAAGTTCGTCATTGGCTGAAAAACACTAGATGTGCATATAGCCTATTGGAAGTACATCAGTATACTGAAATAAAAGTCTCTGCTACTTCCACTTCACACAGACTTCATAAAAAATGCTGCCAGTGGCTGGCACAAAAAATACTAATAGGGAAAGAGTTAAAAATAAAACTCAGTGCATCTCTAGGGATCCAGCTGTAACATGCATGAGTAAAGTACACTGTGTGTGTGTGTGTTTCAGTGGTTCAGCTGGCTGCGTTTGATGCTGTGGTAAAGCAGATGCTGGAGGACGTTCAGGAGCGATTGGTCTACAGGACGCACATCTACATCCAGACCGACATCATCGGCTACAAACCGGCTCCAGGAGACCTGGCCTACCCTGACAAGCTGGAGATGATGGAGGTCAGAGCTTCACAAACTCCTCATGATTATATCAGAGGTGCTGCAGTTTTTAAAGTGTGCACATATTCATCCTCAGCACACTGGATTCTTGCATCAGTCACTGCAGTGCATTTCAAATCAGGAGAGCAAGCATGCAAACACAAGAGTGTGGGGTAAACATCATTAGTGATGCACCAAAATATTTTTCATAGAAAGATTTCATTTAAACCATGAAAATATTATACTTCTTGTAAAATTACATAAATAATGCTGGGCATCAATACACACACGCATGCACATATTTGAGAAAATGTTTTTTATGTTTAGATATAATATATATATATATATATATATATATATATATATATATATATATATATATATATATATATATATATATATATATGTATATATGTATATGATTTGAATTATATATAAATTTAAAATGTCTATGCAACAATATAGTTTTGCTTTTTGTTTTGTGTATGTGTGTGTATATATATATATATATATATATAGATATAAATATATATATATATATATATATATATATGGATGGATGTATGTATGTATATATAAATATATATGTGTGTGTGTATGTATATATGTATATGTAATGTTTCAAAACAATTTCTAAATTCAGTTCTAATTTCCAGCAAAGGAATAAATGAACAATAATAACGAAGTGTGCTCAAAAACCTGAGTTACATCCAAATACACCTGCCATGCCCCATATGGTCTAAAACCTGACAGGTGGACAAATCTAAGCTTGTTTTTAATAAAAAACAAATATAAATATGCAGATAATAAATAATACTGCTAATAATAATAACATTATACAAAAGCAAATTGTTATGAATGAACTGAAAAAGCCCCCAAGATGAAGAAGACATGAAGGCAGTGGTGTTTAAATTTATGTAGGCTAGAAACTAATATATTTTGTAATATTTTAATCCTTTGTATTTATATCCTTTATATATTCTTATTATATCCTGTATATATCCTTAATATTAATTTTTTTTCATATATAAAGATATTTGCGTATTGCTCTACATCTTGTGTGTATTAAGCAGTGTGTAAGCGAGGTGCAACTCTGCGCCGGAGTTTAGACTGGCTTTGTTTGGGTCTAATGAAAAATCTATTATAGTTTCTCAAAATAGCAACGTGCCAACAATGCGCTTCAGAACGCCTTCCTTTTAGACCAGGATGCCTATGGGCACACATATGAGCGCAAATGCATTTGCTATTTAAACAGCGTAGCGCAACGCCTCAAAACCACTCTTGCGCCAAGCTGAAACTAGCATTGCGTCCGGCCTTGCGCCACATTGCACCGGGTGTATGAAAGGGCCATAGGTGTGTAAGCACCTATTATATGCATTAGTTTAAAAATACATATTTTTCCTCTCGATCTTGGACTTTCGTCCAAACCGAGATGCCATTTTTAGGAAACGAAAACATTTCTTATTGAAAACGCTGCCTAAAGTGGATGCATTTGAAAACCCCGTAGTAACACCAGGTATAGAAGTATTCTAGTAATAATAAAATATGCAACATTTTTATTTGCTAAAGGATGTAGTTATGAAGATATTCTTGTTTTCATATCTATTGAAATCTTGCATTTAGTTTTAGTATTTGTTATGACTCTGATTGCTGTGTGTGTTGCAGAAAATCGCTCAGAGTCTGAAAGAGGAGCAGATGAAGCTGAACTCCAGCAACTCCTTCTCTGATGTTCAGCTGGAGGAGTCTGAGAACAAGAAGCTCATCAGCTCGGGTGGGTGTTTGCGTTTCTGCAATTAACTGATCATGTAGAGGCCATTGGATTATAAGAAAATAATGCACAGTGTTCTAAACATTCATTAGATGTGCATTATTTTCTTATAATTCAACAGTTGCATTGAGGAGAGGGGTCTGGATGCAGACCTGCTGCAGTGCAATCTGAGCTGCATCCAATGCTTTTTAATGGGCTCACCTAACCCCACCCGTCACAGTGACGTCACTCACTACATTAAGTGCATTGTGTCTGACATTGCATCGCTGAGTGATGCACTCTCAGCTTGCATCATAACGGCTGCATCCAGATACTGTTGGCATTGAGTGAATTGAGGTTTACAACTAAATCCACTGTTGAGATGTTGCATTTGAGAGTTTGTTTGTCAGGTTTTTGTCCTCCTCAAATGTGTCCTGTGTGTCACACTAGTTTCTTCCACATCTCCTCCTCCTTCTGTTGTGTTTTGATGTGATTTCTGACTGTTGTAGCTGTGAAATCACCCAAATCTGTCAGCGGAGTTATATAGAGCGGTAATGCGCTCTAAAAACCTGCCGGAACTACTTTAGCTGTGCATCTATCTGACTACAACCATCCTCAGGATTCTCAGGGGTCATTGAATTTCTGGGATGTCATGGAGTTTTAAAAGGTCTATTCCAAGCATCGGTAATATGGGAATTGCATATATTTTTCAGGGTGTCAAGTGGCGGTTTAAAAAGTATTAAAATATGATCAATCTTTTTAGAGAAAATAAAGGCCCTTAAAAAGAAGTCTTAAATGCTGCTTTACCATATTTTAATTATAAATCTGTATTTGTCCAAAGAGATTTTTTTTTTAAATAAGAGAGTTTAATCATTGCGCAGGAGAGCAGTGGGATTCGGTGTTTATTTATGGCATCCTGCTGGATTTGTTGTCATCTCTGTGCTCACTAACTGCTGCATTATAGATTCGAGTCCATTTACAGACACTGATTTGCTTCATATCAGCTTCTTTTTAATTCTTCATTTGGGGTAAAATAAAGAGTAAAGTGATAAATGTGGCATGAGTGTTTTACTTAACAAAGAAAAGAAAGACTGATTGCAAATTTGCCCTTCTTTTTCTTGACAACAGCGCACAATTACATCCATTTAGTTGTGCAGTCTTACAATGAATATGGTAAATGTGAGTCAAGACGATGAGGTCTTAAAATGTATGATAAGAGTCTTAAAGTATTAAATTAACCTCCGTTGACATTGTTTGACACGTTTTGGCTTCTAGTAAAAAAACTACGAGGCACAGGGTAGATTCTGCTCTACTCCATGGCTTTGTGGCTGTTTATCAAGACATCGACAAGGTTTGATTGAGCCTGGATCGACCATGGCTCGTTATTATGTGTATATATAATTCCGCTGTAATCTCTCGCTGTGTATTTCAAACATGGCGGGTCCTTTTACATTCTGGCTTGTTCAGTGGCGTAGCGGACGGGCCCGCAGGGCACGCACCGCGGGGGGGCCCCGCGTGATTAGGGGGCCCCGCGTGATTAGGGGGCCCCGCGTCAATAAACTCTTGGGAACAACTGTGATCGGAACCAAAGTTCACAGGTCTGTGTTCTCTGAACACCTCTCAAGCGGTGGACTACTTCATTCTGATTGCTTGCCGCCAATGTTGCCAACTTAGCGACTTTGTCACTAGATTTAGCGACTTTTCAGACCCCCCTAGCGACAAATCTAGCGACTTTTTTGTGTGTTATTGGAGATTTTTTTAGACTGTCATTTGTCCATACTGTACCGTCCCTACTCTTCTCAACGAGCTGCGTGTGATGCCGCCGGCCCCTCCCCCGCCTCACAGCACTGACAGGCGGCCCAGTCAGTCCTCGTACAGCAGCCTCTCCCACCTGCAGCCCGAGAGCAGATCACCCCTCTGCGTACCGACGACAAATGATTTAGCACAGGCAGTGTGAAGGTATTTCCCTTGTACAGTCAAACCGATCTGCTTCTCCTTTATTTTAACAATTTAATTTAATTTAATTAAATACCGTTTATTCTTTTCTTGTTCACAATCACAGATATTTTAGTGACAGTTTCTGAACTTGTCTGAGTTTATTTCATATGAGAGATTACTGCACATTCACTAACGTTACACATCTATAATGATATACTGTATTCAAACAGCAATAAATTTAGTTAAATAAACATGCTTATATAAAGTGTAGTGCAATTATAAATACCCTTTTATTAACCATATGCTGTTAAACAGAAACGGTAGAACGTAATGACGTCAGTGATATGCAAATTAACGTATGACGTACCCCCCCCTTCATCATGGGGCCCCATCAGCGATCCTTGCAGGGGGGCCTCTGCATTTTGCGCTACGCCACTGGGCTTGTTGTGTAAGCGAATGACGTATCTCTGTAAACCAATAGCATTCAGCTGCGCGTCTAGCTCCGCCTTTTGGTACCCTTTCTTGTGTTTGGGATCCTTTCGAAAGGGTGCCGAAAAAGTGGTATGGTTTGGTACCGAACCGTACCACTTAGTGGAAACGGGTCATAAGGTTAGGGTATTTTTTATTTTTTTTTTTTTATTAATTTCTATAGCACTTTTATAATGTAGATTGTGTTAAAGCAGCTTCACATAGAAAGTTTTAGTGAATTGAAACAGTGTTAGTTCAGTTTAGTTCAGTTCAGTGTTGTTTAATATTGACTGCTGAGAGCAAAAAAGTATCGATGCGCAGCAACAGTGGCGAGGAAAAAACTTAATAATTGGCGAAAGTAAAGGATAAAAATCTCGAGAGAATCCAGGCTCAGTTGGGCACGACCATTTCTCTTCTGGCCAAACGTCTTGTGAAAAGGCTGCAGTCTTGGCGCCGAAGGCTGGAGAACACTGGGCGTTAGCAAAGACACGTCTTTCCCTGCAGTCTCACAGGAGTCAGTCTCATGCTTTCCACTCACAGACCACCATAGCAGCTGCTCAGGATACGGCCTGGTCCAGGATTATGGAAACCTTGGGATCTATCTCCTCATTGCCTCAGTGGCGCTGCATAGTCTCTGGGTGTTTGATTGGTCAGGCGGTTTAAATATTGCTAGATTGATTGGCCGGTCAGTTGATTGATTGATCGTTTGGTTGATTGATTGGTCTGTCGGTTGATAGGTTAGTTGATTGATTGATCATTTGATTGATTGATTCATTTGTTGTTTAATTAATTAATTGATTTTGTTATTTATCTTGCAGACACGCGGCTGCAGAGCTCTGTTTCTCCAGCAGATCTTCATGGCATGTGGTATCCTACTGTCAGACGGACGCTCGTGTGCCTCTCCAAACTCTACCGCTGCATAGACGTCAGTATTACAGCCATCTGAATCACTGTTCATGACCCTTACATTAATTAACAATGATGTTAACTTAATGATTAACCATTCATGAGTGCAGAAGATACAGTGGCACGGTATTCATTCATTATTAATATGAATCATGAATATTTGAGTATAATTTAATATTAGATTTTTGTACATCTCATCATGTGGTTAATTGAAATAGTTTATTAAAACCAAATGAAAAATAAATTGGCCTTTTAATGATTTAATCTTGATAATCATGAAAATGTTTGTTATTTTTTTACTTCAATGCTTGTAAAACTTAAACTATAAAAAATTTAATTTCCTAATAAATACACTTGAACCGGTTTTTAATGAATCACTTAATTTAATTATATTTAAGTTAACTTTATTTGAGCAAACTGCCTAGGCCAGCTCTTCTTGAAGCAATAAAAACATCTAAAATTATGATTATAAAATACATTAAAAAGTATATTTGCACATCTAAAAACAGAAACTTTCAAGTTAAAATATGCGAGTTGGAGATTGAAGATTAATTTATAGTTAATTAAAACTGTAAAATTCCATTACTTATGCAAAATGTTAAAAGAATACTTATGCAGAAATAAATAAAGCATTAACTCAAGTTTTAAAATCAGCTAGCTGTCAAGAAAATATGTCTAATTTAAGACATTTATAATTTCTAATTTACTTTAGTTAATTCAGTGATGTATTAAAAATGGAAACTTAAATAAATAATCTACTCTATATTTAAAGTCAAATGTAATAATAATTGATATCATTTGCTATTTTGTCTTCTGAAGAAAGTCTTTTAGTTTGGTCTTTATTTCTTTTAGTTTAGCTGAAATCTATGCAGTTTTTCATGAAAAAAAGAATACAGTTTAAGGTTAATATTATTAGGATTGTCTACAAAACAAGCCACTGTTGTCCAATGACTTGCCTAATTAACCTAATGAACCTAAGTAAATAATATATGTTGAAAAAACAACTTCACTTGGGAAATATATATAAAAAAAGAATTTACATTTAACAGGATTTTATCCTTTAACTGGACATGTAATAATTTAAAAATGGCTTAAACTTGAAGCTTAAGCTTAAAAATGATTTGCAAACTTCTAGCAGAAAACAAAAATTCTAACTTTAGGAATAATTTTTTTTATTAAGTACGAAGCGTGTATGAGGGTGCTTTCACACTAGGTTTAATTGCCTGGACCGGACCCAAGTTTGATTGTCCCCCCTTTCCAACTTCTCGGTTGGTTTGTGTTCACACTGTGTTGTGTTCACATTTGTTTATGGCTGTTGCTAGGTGACGGTCACGAAAGCAGAGCGCACATCGCGGTCATTCTGCTCTTATTGAATCTTTTCATTTTGGACATACAGAAAGCGACTCGCGTCCATCTGCCGCAAACATCACACAGTAGCCCCTTTCACACAGTGATACCGGTAAATATATAGAAAATTACAGGAACGACTTTACCGGTAAATTAAAAAAAGCGCTGTTCACACAGGCGAGGACGTTAGGGAATTTTTCCGGAAAAGAGCGTTCACACATTCATCGCAAAATACCGGTAAATTCTGACATCATTAACCAGAAATGAGCTCTAAACGGCTGCGCTTGTGTTTGTAAACATTTGACTACATCACAAACTCTTTGGATGATCATTATTGTGAACAACTTTGATGAAAACATGTAGAGAAACACTTTCGCATGTCGAGATGTACATGATATGTGCGAGTGCTGGTGCTCATGGGCTGTTTCACGGGCACACGCAAAGCTTAACGGTAAACAAACAACGGCTTATCAGAAGCATCTTATTGATAATGATCTACACAGTTGGCATTAAGATGAACATATAAACATTATCTGACTAACTTCTAGCAGCTAAAGGTGTTTGGAAAAATATTCACAGGCTTTTATTCTCATAAACCGTGCGGACGTGAATGCGTCTGACTGTTCTGATTGGCTAAAGCAGACGTCTCACGTCAGCACGTTCTAGACGTGCACGCGCTCTTTCCCGCAATCTTCCTTCTGCGTTCACACAGCGCAGCATTCTGGCAAATTACCAGTAATGTTACAACTTCTCTTTCCGGAAAACAGCCAGAACGAATTTACCGGTATTTTCAAAAATGGCCTGTTCACACAAACACACCTTTCCGGAAAATTGTCGGTAATTTTCCAGAAAGGTGTGTATGTGTGAAAGGGGCTTGTGTCTGCAGAAGCTGTTTTTGGAGGAGACAAGCAGACATTATAAACTATAGTTTGCTGTGCAGTTGGTGGTTCTCTTCCGTTATTTGGTAGGATTGCATTCATACCAGAAGTGAAGCGGACCAGAGTTCGCATGAACCGTACCCCAGACCACCTCTTCCAGGTGGACTCTGGTACGGTTCACAAGTTCAGAAGACACGTTCACAATAGCTAAACATACCATACTCTGATGTCCAGAGACCCCGGGTGCGGACCAAAAGTGCTATTGTGAAAGCACCCTGAATGTCAGCAATGTTGTTGTTGTGCCATACATATCCTGCAGAGGGCAGTGTTTCTCTAATTGTTTGTGTGTGTATCCTGCAGAGGACAGTGTTTCAGGGTCTCTCTCAGGAAGCTCTGTCTGCCTGCATACAGTCTCTGCTCCACGCTTCAGACATCATTCAGAAGAACAAGGTAAGAGAGAGATTTGTGTAAGGAATAATAATAATAAATGTTATTTATACCGTGCTATTCTAAGACCCAAAGTGCTTACAAAACAGTAAAAAACAACAAAGCACAATGAAACAATAAAGAATACAGTTAAAAACACAGTGAGAATAGAAAAATAAAAAGCAAATAATGTATAGACATATGTGAAGTTATATGTATATAACTAAATCAGGGCCGGCCCGTGGCATAGGCAGTATAGGCAAATGCTAAGGGCGCTGTACATCCAGGGGGCGCCAGAAATGAGCAGGGGTAAGTTGGTTTTGTTTTCAATATTCCTGACACACATTTAGTGATAGATGGCAATAACTCAAAAACCTCTTACCCTAAAAAGATCTAAAGTGTGTTTCCTACAAAAAGACAAACTGGTTATGTTTCACAGCTGTCTTTTTCTTTTTTTTCGCTCGATATTACGAGCACTGCTCCGTTTAGCCTGGGATATGCGTTTAGCCGGGAGAGCTGAGCTCGCGCGAGGTGGAGCTCTCCGTAAGGGACCGTCGGAAAAGTGCTTCTTTTTTTTCATTTTTTTTTTCTTAATTTTCTCTTAATTAATTTTCTTAAATGAGCACAACAGTTACTAAAGTAGTCGAATGCTTCATTCATTCATTCATTATAGATCTGTGCATTCTTACATTAACACCTCTGTTATCAAACAAAACACCAGTGGTGGTAAGAGTACAAAAAAATTGTACTCAATTTCAAGTACTGTTACATTGCTGAAATTGTACTCAATTACAAGTAAAAGTACTGGTGTTAAAAAGTACTCAAGTAAAAGTACAAATTACTCTTCGTAAAAACTACTCAAATTACAAAATTACAAATTACTTTTTTAGCTTGGCGGTATTGGTGGAATTATCCATAAATGCGGAGTCAGACAAGATCCAGGCAGTAAAACACATTTTACATAACACATCTAAAGATACTATAAACACTTTTAAAACTGTGTAAACAGCATTAATTATAGATAATAATTATAGAGCACCTATAGAGGAAACCCACGCCAACATGGGGAAAACATGCAAACTCCACACAGAAACACCAACTGACTCAGCCAGGGCTTGAACCAACAAACTTTTTGCTTTGAGGCGATAGCAATACCCACTGCGCACCATGATTATTTTACAAAAACAATGTTTTGTTATTTTGAGTATTAAGATAACAGAAATATGCACAAATGCACGAATTTTTATCATTTCAAATGATGCCTCTTTTATCTGTACGATCAATAGATGATGTAATAAATAAAAAAAAACACTTGCAAATTATGGAGAAACTTTGTTAATTACCTAATTCGCGAACTGAACCGTCAGAAACCACAAAACAACACTGCCTAGTGCCTAAACATATTATTAATAAATATAATATCACACAAATTAAGTTATGTCTTCTTACCATAATGTTTTTTTTTAGATTATAGATTGAAGTCTTAAAAAAAAGGGTTTCTGCAGATATCATAATGTCAAATTTAGGACTTTTTTAGACCTCTTTAAGACCATAAAGTATTAAATTTAAGACCTATATCACAATATCAAAAGCATGCAAGAGAAAATGCAAAAACACAAAATTTGTGGTAAAATAAAATTATTTAAATAGAACAGTACTGAAGACAGGTTAGATGCACCATTGAAGTGCAGGAACAAAAAAACAAAGAAACAAACATTTTGAGGCTGATTTATACTTTCGCCTGGCTCCGCATTGCACACCTCCGCTGACTGTGCGCGCACCTCACGAAATGAATGAGGCTTTAATACTAGACGCGTTCGTCATTGTGATATTCTTTACAACATCAGGGGCCAGTCAAAAGACACCTCACTGTAAAGTCAGACGGATAAACAGAGAAGTAAAACGTTTCCAGAACTACGTCATATCTTTAATATTGTTCAAGATTTTAAAAATAATTATTTTTCATTATTTTTATAATTTATTATGATTACAAAGTTGGGTGACGGGGTGGGGCAGTGGGTAGCTCTCTCGACTCAAGGCAAAAAGGTCGCTGGTTCAAGCCTTGGCTGGGTCAGTTGGCATTTCTGTGTGGAGTTTGCATGTTCTCCCCGTGTTTGCGTGGGTTTGCTCAAGATGCTTTGGTTTTCCCCACAGTCCAAAAACATGCATTTTAGGTGAATTAGGTAAGCTAAATTGTCTGTTGTTGTAAATGAGAACGGGTTGCAGCTGGAAGGGCATCCGCTGTGTAAAACATATGCTGGATAAATTGGCGGTTCATTCCGCTGTGGCGACCCCAGATTAATAAAGGAACTAAGCCAAAAAGAAAATTAATGAATGATTATAAAGTTTTATAACTATTCAAGATTTTTTTAATTAAAGTTTGATGCATCGCTCACTTGTGTTTATATCTTGGACAGTTCTACCTATTAAAGTTAAATATCAATGACAACAGAACATGGGTTACTCTACAATTATTATTTTTTTATTCTGGCAAGAATAATAGCAAAAAAAAATATATATTTTTTTTTTTGCCCACTCAACAAGTGACACATTATTGTCTGGCTAGTTTCTGTCCTCTACTAATGAGCTGAAAAGGCAATAATGGTCCAACAATCCTGTCCATTATCACCAATAAAGCCTAGAAATTGGGCATCAGTTTACTGTAAGCCGATGGGCTCATATATTCTTTTCCAGTTATCAAATACTTAATTTGTTACTTAATTTTTGTTACATTGCTTTAACTTCAAAATGATACATCAGTTTAAAACCAATAAATGGTGGAAAAACATATTCTGTAATCTTAAAACCACCTGGGTCTCCACTTTTGCCATGGCCCCTTTTTTGTTGTAACAAACTAATCCCCCAGGTTTTTCCAAACTTTAACAAAAACACTTCCTTTCTATGGCTGTTGCAATTTCTAGCCAAGAATTATTTGCCATCTGGTCATCTCTATGCTGATCACGCATGGTCGGATAGTTAAGATGTCTGTACAGTCGTACTGTTACAGACAAAATCTCTTCAAAGTGATTCATATTCAACTCAAATCAAGCGCGGCGCGGCGCGAACTGTTCACCCGAAATCATGTCGCGCGCGTCCAAAGTGAACCTCCGCAAACACGGCGATGACGTCACATTCGCCGCGCGCACTGAGCTATTGCATGCTGGTCTTTTCTTATTTGTAGTTTTAATACTGCAAATTACAATAGGAATAGTGAAATAAAGAACTACACCACCACGAAACCAAGCAACAACAACAAAAAAAAATTAAATGAGCATTAGGAGTAGCGTTACATGTACATCGGAAAAATAAGACCTGTGCAAATATTTCAGACCTAGAACAGCGAATTTGAGACTTTTTAAGGCCTAAAATTTAGATGTTTATATTTTAGACATTTTAAGACCCCACGGAAACCCTGTGTAAGCCGGATGGTACAGCAGAGGGCAGGTTTCATCCACTTTTTTTTTGCGCTTTTTGGATATGCACATAAAAACGGTTGATGGAAACGCTATAATGCGCATATATTTTGAAAATGTGTGTGAATGGACAAACCAGCAGGCTAAGCACATTGTAAAACATCTAAAGTGTTGTTTTGGTCATTCAAAACCGCCTCAACTATTTCAGTATTATATTATATTAATGACCTCCAGAATTTTCAAGAGTGCCTGCTCCGTGTCTCGCGCCTTCCAGCGCTCATTCACTGCGTGCAGCATTACCTTCTGATGCGCAAGTCACTTATTAAATGAAGATAATTTATTCACGCAGCTGCTCCTACTGATGCAAATTCTGTTTTTACTTTTGATATTTGTCGCCAGTTAATCAGGTGGCAATTTTGTTCTCTTTGACTTGTTGGACGGAAACGCTGCTTTATTTGCAGTCTTTTATGCGATATTCCAGTTTTGGGCATACATTTAATTAGCATTTTAGATGATACCATAGCTATTCACATCAGCACAGCTGTCCCCTTTTTTCCCTATGTAGGTGAGCAGCTCCTTCAGGTGTGGCAATGGGCATTCATCTTCTGCTATTTCTTCCTCATTTCTTCTGTCTTAAATCTCCATATGTCAATTGATAACTTTGTGACTGTATGATGACGGTCACGTAAATCTGCAGTAGCCTGAACTTGTTTTTCGGTTCAAATAATGTACCAGGCTTTTCATTGGTCCGTTAAGATCAGCTTTTTTTATTGGCTACCGAAATGCTGGTCAGTGCGTGGCTGAAATATTAATTTATTCACAGTACTCTGTAACGAATTGTGATTTTAAAAGTAACGAAGTAGATTACTCAGCTTAATTTGTACTCAAGTACAAGTAAAATTACAGGCTTAAAATTCTACTCATGAAAGTACAATTACCCCAAAAATGTACTTAATTACAGTAACGTGAGTAGTTGTAATTCGTTACTCCCACCACTGCAAAACACAATGAGAGATTCATTTGCTGCTCTTCACTAAATAGCAAATACAATTAAAAGTTAAATAGATTTTATAGCTTTATTTAATTTCTGGATAGGCCATTGATTTTAATAGGTTAAACCTTTTATTTTATTGTCAATATTTTCTATTGTTTGCTGTGTATTCTATCATTTGAAGCTATTTGTTGTTCCATATTTTAACATCCCAACGGTGATAGATATGACATAACATTGCTAATCATTAAATAGCTATAGTGCTATCTGTTAGTTTTACGTCAGCTAATGGTATTGAAAGGCATAGATGTTTTGGAAAATAGTAATATTAATGTAACTACCCCATCATTCCTTCCTCAAGCAAATGTGTAAATATTAGATCTATTCAGCGATAACTCAAAAAGTGTGTTTCCTACAAAAGACAAAGCTGGTTATGTTTCACAGCTGTCTTTTTCTTTTTTTTCGCTCGACATTACGAGCACTGCTCCGTTTGAGCCCTCGCAATCTGCGTTTAGCCGGTAGAGCTCGCGCTGAGTGGAGCTCTCAGTAAGGGACCGTCGGAAAAGTGCTAATTTTTTCTTTGTTTTTGTTTTTTTGCTCCGTCCTGCGCGTTTTATTTTAAACACAACAAATTTTCTCTTAAATGAGCACAAACCGTTACTAAAGTAGTCGGAAGCTTCATTGGTTGCATTCTCACATTAACTCATCTGTTATCAAACAAAACACAATGAGAGATTCACTAGCTGCTCTTCACTAAATAATAGGGATGTAACGGTATTGTAAATACCGTCATACCGCAATATTAATTTTTTTCGATATTACCAAAGTCGCATGACTCAGTAAAACTATAGGTCTTCTGAGAAAATTTGCTCAGGCGAATGAAGCGAACGGGAGGTACCGGAAACTACAATTCCCATCAGCCCATGCGTGGCCATACTCCTTTGCGGTCTGTTGTCGCAACAGATCAAGTAATGAGGAAATGGAGTGTGCTGCTAGTAGCGGAGATGAAAAAAAGATGGAAATGATCGAACCTAAAGCGGGTGTTGTCGCCGCGCGCTTACTGAATAGCGGTGTTGTCGCGCGAGTTCTGATCAGCTGTGTTGTCGCCCGCGTATTGTAAAGCGCCGAGGGGGGGTTGAGCGCGCATACTCAAGAGCGGTGTTGTTGCGCACATACTGAAGGGCTGGACGGAGGGTGTGTCGCGTCGCGGGGGCACTTTTGATCGTTTTGGAAGGGCATTTTCTATCCAAGACTAAAAAGGGCATGTGCACTGCTCAGGTTGAGCCCTATTTGTGCACGTGCCTGCAAGTTGGGGAATACGACTAATAGCAGTCATGGGGACTGCAGAAACACAGCACACTGTTCAGATTGATGCAGACATTGACTTGTACCGCAAAGAGACCTCTATCTCACTCATGGTTTGTCTTCTCAAGTGGGGTAAAGACAATGCACAACGTTACCCACTGCTGTCAACCTGGGCCAAGTCATATCTCTGTCCCAGAAACCTCAGTCCCAAATGAGAGGGTTTTTTTCTGTTGCAGGGGACATTGTAAATGCCCAGAGATACCAGCTTTTACCAGATTATATTTATATGGTAATTTTCCTTTAAACCCATCTCTGTCTAAGTGAGTGAGTGATTAAATGTTGAATGTGATGAGTTTTCAACAATACTAAATTGAAACTTTATTTTTTTACATGGTTTAATAATTTTTTGTTATTAAAATTGAAGTTCCTGTTTCAAAGCTTACAGATAGATGGCTAATTTGTATGTCATTGACACTTTTGGCACTTTTTTGGAGTATTTTCAAAAGTTTTGTTTTTCCTGTAAATGATTCAATAAATACCGTACCGTGACATTCATACCGAGGTATTACCGTACCGTGAAATTCTGATACCGTTACATCCCTACTAAATAACTATTGTAACTTTAATCAATATGCAAATACAATTAAAAGTGAAGTAGATTTTATAGCTTTATTTAATTTCTGTATAGGCCATTGATTTTAATAGGCTAAATCTTTTATTTTATTGTCAATATTTTCTAATGTTTGCTTTGTATTCTATCATTTGAAGCTATTTGTTGTCCCATATTTTTTACATCCCATCGTTGACAGATTGCTAATCAATAAATAGCTATAGTGCTCTCTGTTAGTTTTAATGTCAGCTAATGTTATTGAAGGGCATAGACGTTATGGAAAATAGTAATAGTAATGTAACTACCCCCATCAGTCCTTCCTCAAGCAAATGTGTAAATATTAGATCTATTCAGCAATAACGTTAATAGCATTGGCATATTTATCTGACGTTTTCCCAGCTTGTAGTCGTCGATCAAAAAGCTGTTTAATTTCTTTTGACTTTACACTAGCAGTGGAATTTACTGCGATGTGACGGGGCGCCACCTGAAATCTTGCCTAGGGCGCCAAATTGGTTAGGGCCGGGCCTGAACTAAATAATAATGCACACTTGAGCTGGCGAAGCAGAGTGGCTGTCACATCATGCATTACCAGAGATTAGGCCTGCACGATGAATTTATTTTAAAGGTGCGGTTTTCAAATCACAAAAGCTGCAGTTATTTCCATGATTACTATAGCGAGGGAGGCAAGCTCGAGAGATTAAAATAATTCAGCTAACATTGCTTAAAAAGCAAACAACTGTTATAGAAGAACCCACGAGCATTAACAGCGCATTATAGACTGTAACCATGGCCGTTTATCGGTGTCTCATCGGTAAATAACACCAGAGCCGCACTGACCGTTAAAACTGAAAGGGTCCATCTATTAGTCCAATGACAAAACTAACAGCATGGGTGAAGGTTAAACGCGTGTAAGCCTTTTAGCACATGTGAAAAGTTTTTAGTCGTTAATTTATTTTAATTTGCTTCCAGCTCCGAAATTTAATCTGACTCCAATTTATAATAATTTTAGATTTAGATTCATCTAATTCAAGCTGAGTGAAAACCCCCATACACATTAACCACACACACACACACACACACACACACACACACACACACACACACACACACACACACACACACACACACACTTTGGCCAGTTTAGTAAATTCGGTTCCTCTAAAGCGCATGTGTTTGGAAACGGAGAAAACCCACGTCAACGCGGGGAGAACATGCAAACTCCACACAGAAATGCCAACTGACCCATCCAGGACTCGACCCTGTGACCTTCTTGCTGTGAGGCCAGGGCTAACCACCAAGCTACCATGCCACCCGTAGATAAATCTGTAAAAAAATAAAATAAATACACAGGATTGATACTTGAAAATTGCATAAATAAATCAAAAGGGGCTGCTTTTTATAGCAGTTCTCAGACATTTGACTTCCGTAGACTGACAATAAAAAAAAAACAATAACAGGACAGCTGTTTCTTCATTTCAGACTCAGATCGACGGGCAGCTCTTCCTCATCAAACATCTGCTGATCATGAGGGAACAGATCGCTCCCTTTCACGCAGACTTCGCCATTAAAGAGATTTCACTGGATCTCAAGAAGACCAGAGGTACCGCTGATCAGACCAGTCCACTTAATGGACAGGAGTCTGAGGGCTTAGGGGTAAATTTGAATGGTTATGGGTGCATTCTTTTAATACTGACTGAATAACTGGTGCATTTGAGTCAAGTGTGTGTGTATATGAATGTATACACACACACACACACACACACACACACACACACACACACATACATAGAGAACAATACAATTAATTTTAATGATTTACGTAATGATCAATTATTTTTGTATTATTGTTTTAGTCAAATTAAATTAAATTACTTTGAGTAACTAAGTAAACTTTCTGGATAAAGTCATTTGAAAAGTAATTTAACTACAATTTATGGAACAATTAATTAGTTTTTTTTTTGAGGTATGAATTAGAGGTCTGCATTCCCGCGGAACAGCCGACCAGATTTCTGCGGCGCGGGAATAAATTTTCGAATAAAGCGCGGGAGCAGCCGGTAACAGGTTTAATTTGGGACAGGAGCGGGCCGTCTAGCTATATTGCTCCTGACTCCCGAGCACGCGTATGTAACGTTATGTGTGTGACTGAAACAGCGCGATGCTATGTTTAGCTTGTTTGTTCGTTGCTGTTCGTGCGTGCGTGTGTGCGTGCGTGCATATGTGTATGTGTATTTGTGTGCGTGCTTGCTTGGTGCTTGTGTGTGTGTTTATACAGACAGCTTGTTATGGGCTGTCTGGACTCTGTATAGCTGGGTGGATTTCGATTTTGTTCTCCCCCCTGCTCTTTAGCGGGATCGGGCGCGGCGGGTAGAAAATGGGGCGGCTCGGGCAGCGGGACAACAAGGGCTGAATATAAGCGGGAGCGGTCGGGTTCGGGTTTAGAGCGGGCGGGAGCGGGATTCAAAATATAGTCTCGTGCAGATCTAGAGTATCTAGTAACCCACC